ACGTATGGAAAAAGAAGTCCACTGGTTTTGCCTAATTTCCCCCCCCCCCAACATTGTTTTGGAGTTTGTGTTCCAGAACATCTATATGAGGCTGATCAGTGCATATGGTTTGTTTCTGATTCTATTTAGGAAAGTCTATTATTCATAAAAGAATGCATTTCTTACAGTACATATCAAATGTGACAGATTTGCTGGTGCAAGATTTCTTTTAGATTTTTCCTGTCATAAACTTGATTGGAAACATGAGCCTTGCTCAATAACCGACAATGCCAGAGCTGTGAAAAATGATCTGCGAAGAGGGCTTCTTTCTCAAATCTCAGCACCGGGTATCACCTGAAACAAAGAATGGTGTCCTGGAATGGAGCCTTTGGAGGTGGCCCATGATAATCATGCCAACCAGTATGATTGGCATGACATTTTCAGGCCTTCTCTCCACCCTTGAGAACCAGCATCTGTCGGATATGAGGGGAGCACATCTTTCTCCTTCTGTCTTGGCCACTTTCTACAGAGGCGTGATCGAGAGCGTTTTAACAAAAGTGCATCCCTGTATGGTTTGGGGGCAGCACCTCAGGTAGGAAGTCCCTACAGAGAGTGATGAGGACAGCGGAGAAGATTATAAGAAGCTTGCTTCCTGTTATTCAGGATGCTGCTTATAAGCACTATGTGTTTAGAGCTCAAAATATCGTTGGAGACCCCACACACCCACTATACGGTCTGTTTCTGTAGCTCCCCTCCCCCTGGGAGGAGGTTTTTGAAGTATTTCTGGCAGGACTACCAGGTTCTGTAACAGCTTTGTTCCCTATGCCATCAATCTGGCAAACTTGCAAGGTTCATTTTTCTCGATGTACATGTATAGATCTGAACTAGACTATGCATAATTTTGCATTAATTTATTATTTTGTCATGTTTATGTAGTGCATATTGGAGAGGGTGACCCTTTGAGAGCAGTACGCAACAACATTTCATTTTAATGTATGCCGATTAGTGTACGTTTAAAGTGACAATCAAGTTGTTCTAAGTCTAAGTTATAAGCCTTTACTGAGAGCTGGTGGACTGAGTGATAGCAAGGAAGGAGGAGTAGGAAGCATGGGCAGCTTTATCGCCCCCTAATGGTCTAAGTGGAAGAAACCAGAAGCCAAGACGAATAAATCTTCACAGATGCCTGGCATTCTAATCGGAACATGACTGCCACCAAGTGGCTGCAATTGGTTTCTTCAGCCTATAACTTGGTAGCTCTCAATCAGCAGGACAGCTCAAAAGAGAAAGCAAAACCTGCTGTGTAAAATAGGATCTTGCAGACAAGCTTACCGACCGCTTTTATAAACAGCAAGGAGAAAATAGATTACTGGGAGGGATATATGATCGTGGGAGAAGACTAAATCACCACAAGTTTCTGTATCGGTAATGGAGGAGTAGAAACCTTTTTGGTAGCAGTGACCATAAAAATACAAACCCATCTTTTTTAGAATAATAATGTCCTTTTCTCTTTTCCAAAAGGGACACGAAGGAAGGGTGCCACAGGGCCCTGTCCTGCTGTTGGGAGGAATAAGGTAACAGAAGACAGCTCCCGTGGCCTAGAGGTGGAGCTCTTGCCTCACAATCAGGACACTGTGAGTTCAATCCTAGGTAGAGGCTAATATTTGGAATAGACTCTCCTGCTCGAGCAGGGGGGTTGGACTAGATGACCTCCAAGGTCCCTTCCAACTCTGTTTTTCTATAAATAGATTACAGTCTCCTTTGCAGCTCTCCCAGCCCCCTAACCCTCAAAAAGGGGTTCCCCGAGGCCTCCCTTTAAGATTTCAGAGGGATTTAGAAGCTGTTTTTGTCTCTGCTCAAGATTGCAAGGTACATTTTAGACGTCCAAGCAAGAAAAAAGCCATGTCCTCTGTGTAGCCTGTTGGATTTTGCAAAGCACGATAGGAATTTTTACACAGGCTGAGAATTTTGGGGCTTGTAGTTCCAAACTATTTAGACGGGAAGGATTCTTTAAATAACAAGAACTACTACTACTACTACTACTACTACTACTACTATTATTATTATTATTATTATTATTATTATTATTATTATTATTATTATTATTATTATTCATCACACAGTCAGCCAGATGTTCAAACTGGGTTTCGTATTTTTGTCTACCTATCAAGTACTTACCAAGGATCTGGGCTAGGCAAATCTGGCTGTTTGATGGTGTTACAGATATCGCCGCAGGATGGAAGCCGTTCCAAGTAAAGCTGCCTTCTGCAATTGACTGATGGCAAATTTGTCAATGCCTATGGTGTTCAAGTGGTGCTCCCGTTGTTTTGGGACTGCACCCAAGGCGCCTATTGGTACTACCCTTGCTTGCCTTTCCCATAGTCATTCTATTTCTATTTGTAGGTCTTTATACTTCGTTATCTTCTCCGGTTCTTTCTCTTCTCTTCTGCTGTCTCCAGGCACTGCCACATCCACTATCCAGACTCTTTTGTCTTTCTTATTGACGACTGTTAAGTCTGGAGTGTTATGAAGCAGGTGCCTGTCTGTCTGGATTCTGAAGTTCCAGAGCAATTTAACTTCTTCATTTTCTATGACTTTCTCTATTTTATGGACCCACCAGTTCTTGCTTACAGGCAAATGATATTTCTTGCAGATCTTCTAATGCACCATTGTTGCTATTTTGTCATGCCGCTGCTTGTAGTCACTTTGTGCAATCTTCTTGCAGCAGCTTACCAGGTTGTCCACTGTTTCTTCAGCTTCTTTGCATAGGTGGCAAATTATTATTACTATTATTATTATTATTGCCTCCTATAGTCATTGCAACAGTTAGATGGGTAGCATATCAATTTAATAAAATAAAACAAACTAAACTTTGTGGGAGTGATGACTGCTGTTTTTTTCGCAGCTGATGGCCAAGAACAACAATAAAACCAGCAGTTCTGCCTTTTGCTACAAATTATCTCTAAGGCTCTGTGTTTTGCCCTTACAATTAATTGTAGTCCTTTACTAGGTCTCTACACCGCTTTGGGCAATCTTGGCTTTTATTTATACTACACTACCGTGGATATACACGCATCCTGCTTGCACAGGCCAGATAATCTCATAAGAGGCCTTTGAAGAGTTTTATGTCATTGTTCCGCTGTTGCCTTTGAGAAGAGCTGGAGAGCCGTTTTGAAAACACAGTTGGGTCTGTGGGAAGAAATATCCACCTGGTTCAGTTCCAGGCTGGGAAAAAGACACTGGAAACAGGGAGGCTGATTGGAAATGTGGTTTATTGATGAAGCAGAACCACGTGGGTTTGTGATTCTGGGCAGCTGACCAAATGGAGTTGAGAGTGGAGTTTTTTTAAACACGTTCTTTAGGCTTTGCACTTGAGCTTCCTGTTCCTGTGCAAGAACCTGTATTCTATTGGCTGTTGTCAGATTCCTATGGGGTCATGTAGGGGTCATAGCTGGTCCTATAGGCAAAAGAGGAAATGCAAATTCTAGGTGTTTGTCTGAGCTAATATGGTCAGCCTTTGGCTTATTGTTTACCTGACTCCCAGGTGAAGTGTGGACTGCTCCGGGGGGTCATGCAAGGAAGGGGCTTGTGTTCTGAAAGGGTGTTGGGCAATTCCTACTATGACTTAATGGCTTTCATCCTGTTTTGGATCTTGAGTGAGGGGGCTGATCCTACCATTCTGCCTTTGTTCAGACTTTGCTGCAGGGAGTTTCAAAATATCCTGTCTTGAATGGATCACCAAATCTGCATTTCTAAAAGGTACCTCCTCAGTTTCTGCTTGGGGACAGGGAGATTGGAGCTGCTTCCTGCCTCTAAAAAAAACACCACATTTTTGGATTTCTCATTTAGGGAAATATAATACTCTGCGTTTTTAATATTCCTCAAAATATTTCATCCTTCCAGGAGGGAGGGAGGTGCTGACTTTCTACAGATCCATTAAGTGCAAAGTCTTCCCGCTATCAGAAATGAGAAAACCTGCCTAGCTAAATCATGGAAAGCTTCATAAATGCTCAAGAGTTGCTGGGAATCGTGCATATAAATTTTAAGAAACAAAGGTAGTACCCTATAGTACAGTGATGGCTAACCTTTTCAGCTTGGTGTGTCGAAAATCGGGAAAAAGTGTAGCCTTCTTCGGGTCGTGTGTCACTTCAAGAAATATCAATAATTTGGTTTTTGACGGACTGGGCTGGGGTGATCACACAGGGCTGTGGAACTTGTCTCCCTGGTCTCAGGGCTGCAGGTGCAGGATGTGGGGATCGGAAGGCCACCTTACAGGGCTGTGAACCTCATGGATCTCCTTTCCTCCTGTAGCGTTCCTGAGGTAATGAAACTGACAAACCTCAGTTTATGGCGGTTAAAACTGGTTCTCTGCTGCAAAGGTCTTGCGGCAGCGGTGACACCTCGCCTCCACGCAACAAGCTGGGAGCAGGGATTGGAGCAGAGCACAGGCAGCCTCTAAATGTGCAGGTTTTCCCCACACCAACAGGCGTGTCAGCCAAAGTGCCTCGGCGTGTCACGAGTGACGCGCGTGTCATAGGTTAGCTATCACTGCTATAGTAATTAGTACCTTGGGTGCAATCCAAAAAACATCTGAAGCACCCCTTAAACAACATTGGCATTGACAAAATCATCAGCTAATTGTTAAAGGCAGATTTACTCATAACAGCTTACAACTGAATATCTTGAACACAGTCAACATCTGCCCATTCCCAGGTCTTTGGGAAGGACTTGATAATGCCAAATCCAGCCTAAACATCTGATTGCCTGTGCAATGAATAGTAATATTTTGCTGCATGTCTGCAAGGCAAGCATTCTAAGAAGAACCATCCAGTTGTGTTTCCTAGCTGGGGCATGCATGGATATGTCAAACCTTGAGGTTTTTTTTTTTCAAAATAGGAGGGAGGGGAACCTTCATTTTGAGAAGTTGTTCATTGCTCATGAATTTGGGCTCTGAAGTCTTAAATTTCACAAAGGCTTCAGTTGACTTTTCTGATGTTTTAAATAAAGCAAATTTAGCCTTCCAGTGCTTTGGTACATGTCCTTTATTTGCAATAGCCAAGGAAAAGTGCATGAACAAAATATATCACAAACCAGTAATAGAATGGACTAATTAATATAATTGCATTGAACTTACTACAGATTTATCATAAAATAATCAGGGTGCAGGAAATAATTAAGTATAGGAAAGTAACTCACATTTGAAATTCCATCCTGATTGACTGTAGAGAAAATTAACACAATTCATTCACTTCACTGCTGTAGTCATGCAAAGGCCCCTTTGTGTTCCAGGAATTTTTTTGTTCCCTCCAGGACTGAATGCAGGCAATGCTGGTCCTGCAGAAGGCAGTTGTGCATATTGCTGGCTGAATGGAGCTGACTGAATTATATATAGTTCTTGTTTCATTATTTGGTAACTATTGTATCTTGCAATACCTTAAGAAACTAGGCAGGCTGATGCTGCTGACCAACCTTGGCTGCAACTGTATTTAAGTGTTATGCTTTTATGCAGTCAGAAACCCCCAAAAACTTTATCATTTCCAAGAGTGGAACATTTCTGGAGAAATAATTCACTGCCTTTAAAAACATTTAATCCAGGAGAGCATCCAAAAGATCCAAATCACTAAAAACGGTATCTACAGGCTCTGGATCCCTTATAGGCTTCCATGGTGTCCCAGGACATTTTGGTGGTTCTGGTAGATCCGGCAGTTGATGTGAGAAAATGGGGGAATCCGTAGAGCTACCGTGTACTGGGGAGACATCAGAAAACCCAACTCGTTCTTCATGGGGACTTCTACTGTTAGCCTCCTGTTCCAGAAAAGCTTTTGAAGTAGGCAGTTGACTTGGAGTTTCAACAGGTGGTAGAACTATAACTTCTTCAGAAGAACTCTCTGTTGGCTTTTTATGCCTGTGTCTGTGGCCCTGTCTGTGTTTGTTGGCACGGCCAAAGCTCTGCTTTTTTTCATGAGTGTGGCGTCCTCTCGGCTCAGGATGGAATTTCTTCACAACGTTTGGTCCTTCCGTTTGAGTAGTGTCTGTGTTTCGGAAAGGGGTGAAACCTGGAGGTACCCTTAATAAAATATCCGGAGGTATCTGAAAATGTTTAATTGTTTAATTATTGGGAATTCTCCAAGCAATGTATTTATTTAAATGCATTTCACATAATTTATTCCACGTTTCTAGTTTAACAAAGCACTAATATGCTGTAATTACACAGTATATCAGCCAATTCTGCTCGTTATACAGGAGGCAGAAAATTAAAAACCATGCAAGAAAGTAAAGTGGCTGTCTGAGGAGGCTTTACAAATAGCTGAAGAAAGAAGGAAAGAGAAAGCTGAGGAAAGAAGAAAGAGAAAGACATACTCAGCTGAATGCCGATTTCCAGAGAATAGCAAGGAAAGATACGAAGCCCCTCCTTCAATGAACAAAGCAAAGGAATGGAGCAAAACAATAGAATGGGAAAGACTAGAGATGTCATCAGGAGGATTGGAGATATCAAGAGAAGGTTCCCTGAAAAGACGAGCGTGGTAAAGGACAAAAATAGTAGAGTAAAAGAAATGAGGAAGAGGTGGCAAGAATACACAGAAGAACTATGTGAGGAAGGTCTTCATGTTCCTCATATTTACGAAGGTGCAATTGCAGACCCCAGGCAAAGTCCAGGTGGGCCTTAGGAAGCATTACCAACAACAAAGCTAGCTGAAGAGATGGTATTCCAGCTGAGCAATTTACAATCCTAAAAGACTGATGATATTAAAGACTGATGATATTAAAGTACGGCACTCCATATGCCAACAAATTTGGAAAAACTCAACAGTGGCCACAGGATTGGAAAAGGTCAGTTTACGTTCCAATCCCAAGGGAGGGCAATGCCAAAGGATGTTCAAATTACTATACAATTGTGCTTGTTTCACACATTAGCAAGGTTATGCTCAAAACCCTACATACTGCTTCATGGGGTCATGGAAGAGTCAGACACAACTTAGCAACTGAGCAACAACCCTCTCAGCTGCAACTCACTCTGCACTTGTATTAAACTTATAAAGCAACATTTTAAAAACAATTTTCTTTAGCTTGATGACCTCCATATGTATTGTTGGCAATCTCTATTCCTAGGAAATATGGGAACTCTGGTCCAAATGCACCATGTTTGTCCCTGCTCATGTATGCTATGCTCCAACACCAATATAGCTTTCAACGATTTTCAAGAGAAACAATTGCACGAGTGCACATCATATCTCCCAACTTCTTCACTATCACTTCCTCTAATTTATCTTCATAACTTTATAACTGAACATCTGAAAAGCTGATTACCAGTTCCCTGGGAAATATATCCCATTTCCCAAAAAAATATGACCTACCCTGAAAGTAAGTGCTAGCTTGATTTTTACACATATGCCCAATATAAACCTACCCTCAAAATAAGCCCTAATTAAGATCCCGCCCACTCCAGAGTGCATGGGTAAAAATTAAGCTAAGGTGCGGATGGGGAGGTGGAGCTGCCCTACTACTTACCTTTGGACATTTGTAGCCAGGCCTTGCACACCCTGACACCTGCCTTGCTGGTCCATTTCTTCTGCAACTGGTAAAGCTGGCAAGGCTTTCCTGAAGGCCTCTGTAGCTGATAACAAAGCTCAGGATCGATCCTCAGCTCTGTTATCAGCTGCAGAGGCCTTCAGGAAAGCCTTGCTGGCCACAGAAGAAGAAGTTCCTGAAGGCCTCTGACAGTGAAAGGGAGGCCGGGGGCAATGCATGCAAGTGAGGTGAGTCAGTGGATGATATCCCTGAAAATAAGACCTGGTGTCTTTTTTGGTGGCAAAAAATATATATGACGGTCTTATTTTTGAGGAAACATGGAACCAATCTCTCTGAGCCTATATGCTGATTTTCACATTCTGTATTAGGAGGAGAATGTAATTGAGGAGAGGATGAAGGCAGATTTGAATACCTCTGAAATTTGTGCCTCGCTGCAGGTTACTTCAGGTTTGCTGAATGGCTCCCAGAGTGTTATGTGAACTGAGCCATGGCAGAGGAACCACTCCTGTCACACAAACAAAACAGAAGGGGAAACACTCATCTCTGGTTCAACATTGGTGTGAGAAACAATCTATGATGTAGAAGAATTATAATTTGAGTGCCGATGTGGAAAAAGCGTTCACTTTCCCGAAAGATGACAAAAATTTTTATGACTTTGGTCTATGATTCAGGGGAAGAACAATTCTTTCAGAATGTTCAGTCAGGGAATCTAAATTAACACAATAAAAATCACGACCTATTACCCCGATATCATTTTATATCTGGATCTGTGCACCTGTGTGTGCACATATGTGACTCCACACACTCTGAAAACCATTCCCAATGAAGTGGGGGCGGTGCAATTGTGTTGGGAATCTTAATTTCTGGATGACCCAGGGGGGAAAACTGGTTTATGGATCTCTACTTTGCCTAATTTTATCCCAAAGCTATTTTCTTACGAAGATTTCCTAGTAACAAATTATAGTATTTTAGTAAACCAAAAAAATGGCTCTGGGTAGTTCAAAGTGGACCTGTTGGACGAATGAAGTCATCCTATTAATCCTTTGGTTTGCTTCGGCAGATGAGTTTTATTAACTTGTATTTAGGATTTAGAGTAGTGGTGGCTAACCTTTTCAGCACTGAGTGCCAAAGTGTGTGCCAGAAACTGGGAGACCAGATCCCCGACGCTTGGGAGCACCAGAAACCTAAAACTTAGCTTCTCGGCGTGTGCATGCACACAGGCCACCTGGTCTTCCAGTTTTTAATGCACATGCATGTGTGAAGACCGCCTGGCTGGCATGCACATGCACTCCGGGGAGCTGCTCTCTGGTTTCTGATGCTCCTGTGCGCGCAAAGACCAGATGCGCACCAGAACCCAGAAGACCAATGGGTGATGGCTGGCATGACTGGAGAGAAAATTCTGCATGCCACTTCTGGCACACGTGGCATAGGTTCGCCACCACAGGTTTAGAGCTTGAGTAGAGATACGTAGGATTGCCCTATCTGAAAGATTATCTCAAGGCTTAATACGCATCTATGGAAAATTGCATCATTTCTCATCATTGTATTTCAAGTATCAGTTTTCAAATTAACTCTTGTTCTCCGAAGTAAAATATTCCTCTAGAACAAATCCCAGTGTCGTCCCAAAAGTGCTTTTTCAAAAGCTGCTTCTTGGAAGAGAAGTGAAATGTCTTCAAGGAAAAACAAGAAACTCCAGTTGCCTTTTGCAAAAGCATCTTTGGGACGACCATGACCTGGATGAGTGAGAACCTCCATAAGGCTTAATCCCAGTGTCTTACACCAGCTTTAGCAGGAGTACAATCTTCACTTAGCTTCTCAACTTCAGCCTTGGAACAATTTGTTTGCTGAATGGTGAAGTTAATTCGATACTTCGTCCCGGCCACAACCTGAAATTCAAGGAGAAAAATGATTAGCAACTGCATTGAGACTGGATGCTGAATAGCACGAACCACGAGAACCAAAAAACTTGGCTTGCGATCTGATCAGCTCATGTTGGATTCCGTGGCCCCAAGGACCCATTCCTTCTCCAGGATTCTAATAAAAACAAGCAAGTGAGGGGGCCACGGGAAAATGTCTTGGCCTTCCCTTAGAGGCACATAAGAAGCCGCCATGGGTCAAGCCAAACCATTGACCTACAATCAGGGGTGGGATTCTACTGGTTCGGCCTGGTTCAAGCGAACCGGTAGCTCCGAGGATCAGCTAGGAGTGAAACGGTTCGATTTGCTCCAACAATCACCTGTTGGGCCCACCTGCCCACCTGGGCTCTAGACTGTGCTTTATATCCTGGTTTTCAAGGTCAGCTGATTTGCCCCCCCCCCACTTCTGACGGCTCCTTTGTTCAGAGGGGAGACGCAAAGGAGCAGCTGTTCTATGCCCCAGATTCCCACCCACTCTGAAGGTGCTCCTATGGCCTGCTGGTGGGTGGGAGGGGGGGGGGATTCAGGACTCTGGGGAGGACAGGAAGCCCCTTTGGAATTCTGGCCCCCTGGCCCTGGAAACTCCCCCCCCCCGGTCGCCTTTTTCACCTGATCAGGTACTTTTGTTCCAATATTCCAACATTTTTTTGGGGGGAGGGGATTTTTATTTTTAAATATACATCAACATCAATACATGAACAGTGGGGCTTAGCCTTCTCCCCAACTGTTAATTTATTAGTGCAGTGGTTACAACTTATCATCAGAGCCTCGGTGGCGCAGTGGTTAGAGGGCAGTACTGTAATCTACTTCTACTGCCTGCAGTTTGGCAGATCGAATCTCACCAGGCTCAAGGTTGACTCAGCCTTCCAGCCTTCCGAGATGGGTAAAATGAGGACCCCAGATTGTTGGGGACAATATGCTGATTCTGAAAACCACTTAGAGAGGGCTGTAAAGCACTATAAAGCGGTATATAAGTCTAAGTGCTATTGCTGTTGCTAGCAACATGGGCAGCTGGGGCAGCTGAATGGAGCCAGCAGAGTGGCCGAATGCCCTTCCTGTCACCAATGCAGCGTTTTGTTCAGCAGATATATTCTCACTCTGCCCAGAGATATCTGTGTCTACTTAGGTAGGATTGAACTCACAGCCTCCTGATTATGAGGCGAGAGCTTCACCTCTAGGCCATCGCACCGCAGTGGTTATAAGTTATATATACACTTATATTTGGTTATTCCAAAACCTAGAAGTTTCAAGAATAACAACCTGTGCTTATGTTGGTTTTTGTAATGGAAATAATGAATGCACTTTATTTTATTTATTTATTTGTCACCGATCAATACAGAGGACCTGAATTGGAAAAGGATTCAGGTTCAAGCCAGGTTTTCTTAGCAAAGTTGTGATACCGCAGGTACAGATAAAATTCAAACCTGTTTTGTTGCATCTTTTATTCCCACAATTCTGAAATGAAAGTCACCGTTGTTGTTTGCATTAAACGATTCTATAAGGTTTTGTAGAGGCTCCTCCAGTTCTGGGCTGTCCCTTGCAATCGCAACGGGGCACCCGGGACAGAGGTGAACCGGAGGTCCCACTTTTTCTTCCACTGATGGAAATATATAGATTAAAAACACAGGTTTATAACAGGTTATTGTAAAAAGGAAGGACTACAAGGATAGAAGCCTGCATCTATGTTGTTGTTGTTTTTTGGTAAGAGATTATTGAACACATGTTGGCCATGCAAAAAAATAAATAAATGTGTGAGTGCAAATTGTTCTGTAGCGTTTTGAAATTTACCGTGAATGGTGGTTTTTATCTAGGGTAGCATCATGGCCACCAATTTATGCATATAAAAATAATGCTTTATACCATTCCACTATATTCCACTATATTCTATTCCAACTCTGTTATTCTATTCTATATAGCAGTGGCCCCCAACCTTTTTTGAACCAGGGACCGGTTTCATGATTATTTATTCTTCCACGGACCGGTACCTGAGTAATGCGAGACTCTACTGCCATCGGGACGGCTCTTCGTTCGAAGCCGCCCCCCCTCTTTGACGAAACTAAGTCACAAGCACCCAAACACCGCTTTCCAACTGAAAACCTGGAAGCAACCGAAAACCCGGAAGCGCCGTCAAAACAAGATGGTGGCACCCAAGCTTTGCGGCCCAGTAAAAAATGATCCACGGACCGGTACCGGTCCGGGGACCGATGGTTGGGGACCCCTGCTATATAGTACTGCCAATTACAGCTAGTCCTCAACTTACAACAGTTCCTTTAGTGACCATTCAAAGTTACAACATCACTGAAAAAGTGACATTTTTCACATTTATGATCATTGCCATGGTCATGTGATTTACATTTGGATAGCAATAGCACTTAGACTTACATACCGCTTCGCAGTGCTTTCCAGCCCTCTATAAGCGGTTTACAGAGTCAGCCTATTGCCCCCCAACAATCTGAGTCCTCATTTTACCGACCTTGGAAGGATGGAAGGCTGAGTCAACCTTAAATGCTTGCCAACTGGCTTGCCAACTGCTTGCCAATATTTATGATGGTTGCAATGTCCCGGGGTCACATGATCCCCTTTTTGCGACCTTCTGACAAGCAAAGTCAATGGGGAAGCCAGATTCACTTAATAACCATATTGCTAATTTAACAACTACAATGGTTCACTTAACCAATGTGGCAAGAAAAGTCGTAAAACAGGGCAAAACTCACTTAACAAATGTTTCACTTAGCAATATAAATTTGGGGCTCATAAGTAAAAGTTGTGGTCATAAGTTGAGGACTACCTGTACTAAAAATGGCAGACAGTATTATTTCGTCCTTGAGCCAAGAAAGTGCTGAAGCCATGCAATACTTTCAGGAACCACTGAAAAGTCCTGAAAACAGACTGTACAGATAGTCCTCGAGTTACGAATGCAATGGAGCCTGCCCATTCCATTCGTAACCTGAGGATTCATGGGAGTGAATCTTGCCTTGAACGGGATCACTCCCTCCTTTCACCCATGCATTTGTTAATAGAATGCGAGTCTCGTTAAGTGCACATGAGGTATTTTGGGGTCAGGAAGGCCATGGGGGGGGCGCTACTGATGGAAGAAGCCACCTGCCTAAGACTACCCAAGGCCTACCAGACCCACTGAAATACCTCATGCTCCCCAAATTGCTTCCCCCCCCCCATTTTGCCACTCCAGGTCACTTATCTTGTGAAGATCTAGTAAGTAGTTTCCTCTCCAGCCTCTCAGTCACATGTGCCCCTCTGATGCTCTGTTCGGGCTGCCATAGGCCTCACCCGGCAGGTCTCCAGCTGAAATTGAGCTTCTGAGGGGCAAATCCGGCCCTCCAATGTTCGGCCATCCGCAGGTCTCCCTTGGCCTGTTGCAAGCCAAAATGGAGCCTCCAAGGGAGGCCTCTGGACACCTGAACGGGGCTTCTGAGGGGTGGATCCACCCCTTGAAAGCTCCATTTCGACCAGCAACGTGCAAGACAAATGTTGCAGAGCCTCTGTGGTTGTTCATAAGGGCGAACAACTGCCGTGGTGCTGCAAGGTTTGTAGTTTCGGGCCTTGTTTACAAACACTAGGGGGCGTTTATTGTGTAACTTTGAACGTTCGCTAAGGGAATGTACGTAACCTGGGGATTACCGCATGTCAAAAACACATGGCATCAGCAATTCATTGGCTTGAGGAAGGAGAACACTGTTCACCATTTTTAGTAGTAGACAGCTCCGTCATATTTACGAGTCATCCTTAAGTCAAACGTTCTTAATTCAGGTACAGGCTTTAAGTAACTAATTCTGGACGCTCTATTAACCTGATGCTGTTTGATCATTTCTGTTTTTAGATGGCCAATCACTGTTTGTGATGGTGGCAAATATCTGTAGCTCAGGTGTAGGATGAAGGTGGAAGTTTGTCCTCCGAGCTCGTGGGTTGGTTTTCAAACATTTCATGACCAGGCTAGATAACATCTTCACTAGACTTTAGGGGACCTGGTAACGAAGTGTTCAGAAACCAACTTACAAGTTTGGAGAGCGAACCGCTGCCCTCAATCTTTGTGTCTCCAAATCTTGAACTGCAAGTCGCAACAACCCCTCTACTTTGTCTGCTATCGGTTCGGCCCGGTTCAGCCAAACCGGTAATAGAAAAAAGCCTCCAATCAACTGAGAGGATAAAAGACCGAAAAGCGCATGGGGGGTGGGAGGGTCGCTCTTAGCTTTTCATTTCTTCATCCTCTAAGCTGATTGGCTTATTAGGTGCCTGCGTTTTAGGTAGAGGTGGGATTCAATTTTTTTACTACCGGTTCTGTGGGTGTGGCTTGGTGGGTATGGCAGGGGAAGGATACTGTAAAATCTCCAGTCAGAGGTGGTATTTGCCGGTTCTCTGAAGTACTCAAAATTTCTACTACCTGTTCTCCAGAACTGGTCAGAACCTGCTGAATACCACTTCTGGTGTTAGGGGTGCATGCATGCACACACAATCACCCACAGAACCGGTAATGACTAAGGTAGGATCCCACCACTGGTCTGGTTGGCTGGAGCCTGATGGGTTTTACCCATTCCCTGCATCTTTTGGAAGTATGACCAGAGGAGGAGGATTATGGTAACTGTAGTTCAGCAACTTTATCAGGATTTTCACATCTATAGTAGGAAACCCTAAAGAACTGAATGCATGCAATGTGAATTTGTCATCGTCAAGATACTTCAAGCAATACTGAATCAAGAGATTACAAAGCAACAGTTACAGACCTTGCACTTTGCAATCCTGTTGTGCATGGACCAGTGTGTTTGCATTGTCAATGTAGGCAGTCACTGTACAGAAACCTTCTTTCTGGAAGAGGGAAAAAAAGTGAAGGCTAAACTGTGTGTTTTATCAGGCAGCTCCTTTGTTTCACTCAGGGCAGTTTTTCCAGATGGCATCCCTGTGAAAATGACTGGCACAAAGTACACGCTCATGCACAGAATACACATTCCCTATTCCAGCTAAGGTGCACACAGAGAGAAGAGCCTTCTGCTATGTGCACAGATCATCTTGGCCTCTACCACTTCAGGTATAGGGAAAAGCTTTCATCCCTTCAAATCTTGAGGCAGAATTCAGTTGGAAGCTGAAAACTGGCGCTGGGTGGGGGAGGGGGGCAAGCAGAGCTCTAAGGGGGGGGTGTCTTCCAAGAGTCTGATTTATATTTAACATTTCCATGAATATTCTCTCCCCCACCCCATCCTTGCAATTTTGCTCCTTGCACTCTGTGGGCCCTTCCCCTTCCCCTGCTGCAGTGGTGAAATGCTACCGGTTCGGCCTGATTCAGTCAAACTAGTAGTAAAAGAAACTCTGATGATCAGCTGACAGGAGGAGAAAGAAGAGAAGAGCACAGGATCAGCCCTCCCACCCACCCCTGCACTTTTCTGTTCTTTATCCTCTCAGATGATTGGCGCAGCAGAGCCCCAGCTGGTGTTTGGAAAACTGTGCGTGCGCTTTAGGTGTGCCAAGCCGGTAGGGAAACTGGTAAAATCCCACCACTGCCCTGCTGCCTCCAACTGACCTTTGCTGTCTCCTGGTATGTCCAGCCTGGCCCCTCCCAAGGCAAATATTAGCTGTACAAACGTCTTCTTGAGATTGTGCATGGTGGTTCCTTCATGAGAGGCCTCAAGAAGAAAGCCATGCATAACCAGCAGATGCCTTGGGAAGGGCCAGGCTGTGCGGTTTCCTAAGCAGTGAGGGGAAGAGAATGGCGAAAATCAGCTTGGGATGGCAGAGGGCATGGTAGCAGTGGCTGCAGAGTGCAGAACGGCTGTAGCTGGGGTCTAGCAGTGTAGCATTGGTGTTCATGCTGCACTGCTGGGCTTGGAGCAACTGGGTCTTTGTGCTTCATTGGGGTGACTGGGACATTGCGTTCTGCTGCTGGGTTGGAGTGCCCAGAGTTTTGCGCTGTGCTGCACTTCTGGGTTCGGTTGCATGAGGCTTTGTGCTGCACTGCTGGGGCTTGTGCGCCCTCCTGTGTCCAGCAGCAGCCAGCACAATCCAGGATCTGTTTGGACTTCCTGTTGGCTTCCCCATTGTCTTTGTATGTTGCAAGGTGACAGGAAGTTGCTTAATCACCTGCCTGCGATTCTTGCTTAACAATAGCTGTGAGGACTGTTGATTACTATTGGTAACCAAGGACTATCTTTGTATACATGTACCATTAAAAATTAAGCAAGGATGGTTGTGCTGTGTTTCTTTTTCTTTTAAGAAATTGATTTTTAAAATCTTGCTAATCTTCACAAGGCTCATATTGCTGACGCTGCTCTATCTCAAAAGTAACAGAATATTTTTCCATTATTCGTATTTCTCTGTGTTTTTCCAGGTCTTAGTATATATAGTAAATGGAGATAGATAGATAGATAGATAGATAGATAGATAGATAGATAGATAGATAGATAGATAGACATCGATCATATCTATATCTATCTATCATCTATCTTTATCTTTATCTATTTATCCTAGGAATATGATATAAGAAGTTCACTTACACCTTCAGGAAGGTGTCTACATGCTGGGCTCAAATCTAGAAATTCATTCTTGGAACAATTTGTTTCTTTTATCGAATATTCCAAATTGTAATTCCATCCATTAACCACCTGCAAGAAATTTAAGAGAAGTTTCTTGTTAAGAGAAAAGAAATTACAGTGTACCTTGGGACTCGACTGCTTTGAAACTCATTGAATTTGGTACCCAATGCATTTTGACGAGAAAATTTTGTCCCGATACTTGCTATTTGTTTGGTACTCAGCGTGGAAGCTAGAACTTGTTGATGTCCGTTGCCTCGTGACTCACTACTTCTTCCAGCCAAAACAAAGGTGACACGTTAGTCAGGCAGTAACCCTTACTCTGTGCACAACCCCTTGCAGTTTTATCTTAGCGCCTGTGATCATCTTGTATATTTTTGTGCTTCTTTCCCTCATCAGCACAAGCTGGAAGGGATGTTGGGGGTCTTCTAGTCCAGTCCCCTGCTGAAGCAGGAGAACCTATACTAATCTGGGCGGGTCATCGGGACCAGAGGTTTTGTCTTCCGAACTCCCAGACTCATACTGGAGCTCATCCTCAAAGAACTCATCTCTAGCAGAGTGTGTACTGTTCTGTGTGTGGTATTTATATTTCCTGTTGTATATGGCTTTTTAGATGTTGATTGGGGTGTGTTGATGACCGGCTGTTAAGTCGTCTTTAAGTATTTATTGATTTTTAGGTTTATTTCTCATGTAAAGTAATGATATACAGCCCTGTCTTTTTATATATTACATTAAAATGTGCATTGGTTTCGGTTTGGGAATGCATGATATTTATTAATATTATTCCTTATGGGAAAAATGTGCTTGATACCCATAATTTTTGGTACTCATCGCACCTCCTGGAACCAATTAATGACAAGTACTGAGGTACCATTGTAGTTTAAATAAAATTGCCACAGACTACTATCAGAATTATATTTATACTTTGTGTGTTTAACAGGGCTGTTTTCTTTTTCTTTTTAACAAAGGAAGGTTTCACAAACATACCCAAAGGGAGGACATTCCACATTTTCAGATTTAATTATAAATCCATCCAAATTACCTAATTCTGGAAAGGTAAGATGGAGAATTATTGGAACATATACCAACCTGACGAGTCGCTGTTTTCATTTCTCTAACTTCATATAAGGCAGATTGTTGACTCTGATTGTTAAATTGCCGTATGGTGAATCTCACAATCGGAAGCACTTCCAAACTCTTAGGGTCTATGGGATGCCAGCACCCCAGGCAATGTGCAGTAGACCGTATTACATTCTCCAGTCCTGAAAGCAAGCCAACCACAAATTAGAAAAAGGAAAACAAAAGCAAAGAAATTAAAAGTGAAAGTAGCATGGAAATTACTGCAGTGCTCAGTAGAATAGAACAGAATCAAATTCTTTATTGGCCAAGTGTGATTGGACACACAAGGAATTTGTCTTGGTGCAAATGTGTTCGGTGTACATAAAAAGAAAAGAATCATCAAGAATCATCAGGTACAACACTTAATAATAGTCACAGGGTACAATAAGCAATCAAATCATACGAGGAAACAGTCAATATAAACCATAAGGATACAAGCTACAAAGTTACAGTCATACAGTCACAAGTGGGAGGGGATGGGTGATAAGGAGTGATGGCAAAATTAACAGTAATAGTAGTGCAGACTTTGTAATAGTTGAACAGTGTTGAGGGAAATATTTGTTTAGCAGAGTGATGGCATTCGGGAAAAAACTGTTCTTGTGTCTAGTTGTTCTGGTGTGCAGTGCTCTATAGTGTCGTTTTGAGGGAAGGAGTTGAAACAGTTTATATTCGGGATGTGAGGGGTCTGTAAATATTTTCACAGCCTTCTTTTTGACTCGTGCAGTATACAGGTCCTTGATTGAAGGCACAAACAGGTAAAGATGAGAGATTAAAGAAAGGACAAGGAACGAGAAAAGTAGTTTAGGAAAGGATGAGCGATGTGAGGTAATTCATCTTTAGAGAAATCAATGGTAGGCAATATTGTACATTGCCTTTCAACACTGGGGTTTATTACATCTAATCTTTGCACAGATGGTAGTTACAACCTACATCTAAATAAAAGTGAGATCTAATCCTGGCCTACGAACAATATACGAACATTTGGCTCTTATAGTCTTGCTGGACAAAAATGACACATAGCATCCTATTCCGTCCTGGAGTAGGGTGCTATGTGTCAGCCTGGTGACCACCAAGTACTATAACTCCCAGAATTCATTTCCAGAATTCTTCTGGCTATGAATTCTGGGAGTTGTGATTGTAACATACTGTATTAGGAAGGAATGAGTTGGACGAAGATGAACGAGAGGATAAACTATGGACTGGATGAGAAACACATAGTGGGTCTCCCAAAGCTATTTATGGGCTAGAAAGGAAACTCCAGAAACCAGATAATTACATAGATTGTGAGGATCTAAGTGCCATTAAGGTGGGAGACTTATCACCTGCTAGGCTTCAAATGTTGCTGCAAAATTTAACCTTTTCTGTTCCACATTGTAATATCTGGATTGAATCATAAACTTGTTCAAATTCAGGAAAACCATGTTATCAACGATGCTATAGAATTAATAGATGATCAAATCTCTAATAGAGTTGAAGAGAAGGGATGGAGAAGATGCCCTAATTGTCCCTTTTTTATACAAGCACAAAGAGGATTTTTTTGGTAGGCAAAGGTGCATTTTTTTGGGGGGTGTGTGTGTGTCATTTTTGAATTTTAACTTTGAAAACACAATCTCCTGGCCACTGAATGCTGCTGACAGCTAGGTGTCACCATTACATTGTGAATATATTTTAAACCACAAAGATTAAAAAAAAAAACTGCCTTTTTATTTTAAAAAGTTTAGTTCAGTAAACTAACAACCTGAGATGCACCTGCACAGATGTTTTGCACAGGGATTGCTGGAGAAATAACTCTTGTGACTGAACTCACCAACATATATTATAAATCCTTAGAACTGATAGATGGAAAGAAACAGAATAACAGAGTTGGAAAGGATCTTGAAGGTCTTCTAGGGAAACCCTATACCATTTGAGAAAAACAGTTGTCCAATCACTTCTTTACTTCACTCTAGTGTTGGAGCACCCACAGCTTCTGGAGACAAGTTGTCCCACTGATTAATTGATGTTAACATTAATAGATGTGAACAATTTTACGCTGAAATGGTCAGCGCTGCAAGGGTTGATTAAGATGAGAAAAGAGGTAAGGCATGGAGGGAAAAGGCATCCGTTGTGCTCTCTACAATCCCTCATCACTAAAATTGAACTAATTTTTCCCATGGGAATTTTACGGAGTAATCTTTAAAAAAAAACAAAACAATTTTATTGATTTTCAAAGACAATACACAAACAAACAAAACATAAAATATAAAAACATAGAACATCTTTTCTGAAAGCTGCTTGATCCCGGGTTACAACTCTTCGTACAGACACAAATTCAAATTCATATTCATTTTATATACCATTCCATATCTTATTACCATTTTCAATTTTCTATATAACTTCTCACTTCTTTTAACTTTCTTAGTTTTATTTTATTTATCTCATCTCAGTTCAAATCATAATACTTATTATTCTTTGTTCTGTTCTGTTTCCAGCTATCCATTTATCTTTTCTCTTTAAACAAAACTTCTCCTGTACACTGATTGGAGTATGACGCCTTTAACTCTTTCCCCTAAATTTATAATACTTAATATAATACATAACTTGCATTGGGATTCTGTTTAGTACATTCTAAAATTACACAATGTTTTTCATAGAATTTTTTTATAGGTATATGATGTAATTAAAACAACTATCAATGCCAATACAAATCTAATCATTAATATTAATATTCATTTATATCTTAAACACTTTACACGTTACTTTTCAATTAAATATCATACTTTTATGGGAGTAATATCAATGTAGGAATTTTTGGAGAACGATAAAGGGCTGAACGGTTTAAAAGCCTTAACTCTAAACTAGTGGTCGCCAACTGGTGGGCCGGGGACCACTGGTGGTCCACAAGAAAATTTTGGTGATCTGCAGATAAATGTCATCCCCCCCCAAGCAATTCATCCAGGCTGCACGCGAACACAAGGCTGTACTGCTTTTTGCACATTGCGCCACCTGCAAATTTGCACATTACACATGCCACCGTCTATGGCAGAGATTTCCAACCCCACCATGGGCTGGTCCCATATTCCAGAGCTTCAGTAGTTACAAGACTGGCTCTTTGGTCATCCCGGAGCAGCTCATCCATGGCCGGCTGGTGCCTAGGCCAGTCCTGTGACTACTTGCAGCTCTGGAATATGGGACCGACTTTCCCACCAACATCAGCAAGCCACTGTCAGTCAAAATTCATATTAGTGGTCTGTGGGATTTAAAATTATGAGTTTGGTGGTCCCTGAGGTCCAAAAGGTTGGTGACTCCTGCTTTAAACCATTCGGCTGTTTATCGTTGTGAAAAGATTCAAAAATCTCAAAAGAGTTTTCTCCCCCAACACATTCTATTTCAACAATATGCAATTCCTTATTTGGCAATTGAGCAATCCACTTTTAAATGTCACCTGACCCACAGTGTACTGAGTTATGCAACAGAAAATGAAGGTCGAGTTACTCTAGTACAGGGGGTGTCAAACTCACGTCGTCACAGTGGCGTCACATGACAAGTTGGGACTTCCCCCCCCTTTGCTAAACTGGATGGGGAAGGGGCCAGCATGTGACGCATCGGGTCAGCGGGCCGCGAGTTTGACACCCCTGCCCTAGTTTCACCCTTTCCTGATTTTTCCACCCTCCATTATCATCAAGAGTAGGATAGGAAAATGGTGATTTTTTTAAAAAAAAATGCTAACTTAAAATTTACTCACCTGGGCTAAATTTGCAATACTGTGATATTAACCCTTGTGAGTCAATGTCAATGTCAGCTGTACAGTTTCCATAATCCTGTGACAGAAGAAAAAAGAGACCATCAGCTTTGAAGCTGTGTTGAGATTCGATGCTCCCACACTGCCACAAGCCTGAGAAAGTGGGAGGGGGGATTCAATTGAGTAACTCTAAGTCAGGGGTCTCAAACTCATGGCCCGTGGGCCAATTGCGGCCCGCAGGACGATATCCAGTGGCACCCACCGTGATATGAAAGTATAATATTAGTGCGGCCCGCAGGGGGAATGGACCTCTGAAGGAAGTCCCGCCCGCCGTTCCTCGTCGTGGCTTCTTCTCCACCCTGAACTTTAACAAGTCCAAGTACAGGTCCAGACTTACTGATGATCATCTTCAAGCCATACTGAGGGTCTCAAGTGCCTCCTCTCTCAAGCCAAATGTGGCTCAGATATGTGAGAGGAAGCGTTGTCAAGTCTCTGGCAGCAAGGAGTAAGCTGGAGAAGCCATGTTCTGAGGAACTGTTCATGATCTTCATTCAATGTTCCATTCATGTGTTCAGGACAGTTCATGTATTGGAGAAATCATTAACTGTTGATGACATTTGAGGATATTTTTTTAACAACGTTTTTTGTGGAATCCCTTATGCAGCCCAGCCTCACCCAGACTCTGCCTCTAGCGGCCCCCAGGTAAATTGAGTTTGAGACCCCTGCTCTAAGTAGACAAAATAAAATTATTTTGTTAGTTCAAGGTCATTGAGTATGGCGCAGAATGAAATAGGGATCTTACTTTAGGACGGATCGTGATTGGGCCATGTGATGTGATGATGGCCAAGGGGGGGATGGATTTGCAGTTTTGAATATTGCAAGGAAGCCCGAAAACTTTCAGATTTGGGGTTCCACAGATGTGTCAGTTACTATCTAAATAAAGCAATCTTTGAGATATGTCTGTTTCGGAGTTATTGGCTGGAAAGGAGGGTTGCTGGAATGCTGACAGAGACATCAGTTGAGCTCTTAGGTGTTCAGTGGGACATCACAGGAGTTGTGAAGAGTTGTGTACATTCATTTTCCACTGTTAAGAAATAGAACTCATCACCTTTCATAGCTTTTTGATATGGTTTGATAATCCGTCAAGTTCATTGTTAGTGAGTATCATTGTTAGTGAGACCTTTGCTGGCTGTACTTGAATACAGGTAGTCCTTGACTTACGACCACCACTGAGCCCAAAATTTCTGTTGTTAAGTGAGACATTTGTGAAGTGAATTTTGCTCCATTTATGACCTTTCTTGTCTCCATTGTTATGTGAATCTCTGCAGTTGATAAGTTAGTAACATTGATTTTACTTGTCAGAAGGTCGCAAAGGGTGATCGCATGATTTGGGACACAGCAATGGTCATAAATATATCTGAATTGTGATCACATGGTCATGGGGATGCTGGAGAGGTCATAACTGTGAAACATGGTCATAAATCACTTTTTTGTCGCTGTTAAAAGTCAAGGGCTTTTGTTATAAGTCGAGAACTTCCTGTATTGCAGATAAGATCTTATATTTTTTAAAATGTGTGATGGAAGGCATGCAGATAGATCTTTGGGGAGACAAACAAAGCATCGTATTTTCTCAGTTGGGTAGATGGTTATCTTCATTTGTTATCATATCATTTGGCTGTGCCTAGTCGAATAAACAAGGGACATGGTGGCTCAGTGGCTAAGACGCTGAGCTTGTCGATCAGAAAGGTCGGCAGTTCAGCGGTTTGAATCCCTAGCACCACGTAACAGAGTGAGGTCCCATTACTTGTCCCAGCTTCTGCCAACCTAGCAGTTTGAAAGCATGTAAAAATGCAAGTAGAAAAATAGGGACCCCTTTGGTGGGAAGGAAACAGAGTTCCGTGCACCTTCGGGCGTTTGGTCATGCCGGCCATATGACCACGGAGACGTCTTCGGACAGCGCTGGCTCTTCGGCTTAGAAACGGAGATGAGCAGTGCCCCCTAGAGCTGGAAATGACTAGCACGTATGTGCGAGGGGAATCTTTACCTTTACTAGTGGAATAAACAGATAGATAATGATAGATAGATAGATAGATAGATAGATAGATAGAGATGGATGGATAGATAGATAGATAGATAGATAGATAGATAGATAGATAGATAGATAGATGAAAGAGTTTAAATAAAAAAGCTCCTAATGTAATTCTAAGTCAATAACTTTCAACCTCGCCTGAAGTTACCCCTCATCCTGGATTCCAGCCAAGATAAGACATCTAAATTTTTCCCATCCAAATCCAATAGAAATCTCTTCTTTCTTTCTATTGGCCTTTAAGCAGAGGTGGCATTCAGCAGGTTCTGACCAATTCTGGAGAACTGGCAAATACCACCTCTGACTGGAGATTTTACAGTATCCTTCCCCTGCCATGCCCACCAAGCCACACCCACAGAACCGGTAGTAAAAATTTTTGAATCCAACCACTGCCTTTAAGGGGCAGGTGACACCACCTGGGCATAAAAGGCGGGGTTATTTTTTAATGGGCCAACTTTCCCCTCAACAGTCACATGACAATATAGGCCAAATTGGCAGCTTTGAGGAATGTGAGCTTCCGCTCCCAGAATTCCCCAGTTAGCCTATTAGGTAGAGAATTCTGGGAATTGAAGTCCACATGTCTTAAAACTGCCAAGAAAATCCATCTAATAGTACCCAATCTTGAGGCTGGTGCCAAAATGCAATTTTTCCACAAGTCTATTTTAATGGCATCTTTTGCCTCGTTGCATAGGGTGATCCTGGCAGCCCTACATACTGTTCACCTGTCTCTCTCTTCTTGCTGTCCCCCATAAACCTCTTTCTGATCACTTCAACGGAGGAAGAATGAATACTTACTTCTGATATCTCTAAAAAATCACAGTTTTGCCAAGGCTCCTTCGCAGCAATTGGACATGCAGTTTCTCTTACTTGATAGATGACATGGAATTTTTTTCTAGGACCTGCCTGAAAAAAGTGTTTACATGAGTGCTGTTACAATTTCATTTATTTAATAAATCGATACTGCCACCCATCTCGAATCCATGATTCTGAGTTTCTAACAGTTAAAACAACACAGGAATAAAGTGAAACACAACCAATGACCTATATCTTTTTTCTAAAAAAGGATGTGTGTGTGTGTGTGTGTGTTCAGCATAACTCTGGAACGCCTCGAGCAATTTCAACCAAACTTGGTACACAGATTACTTACTTTCTGGAAATAAATACTGTGAGGGTAAGACACCCCTAACACCCCTTGGGGTGTGTATTCTGTTAAGATACAGCCTGTTGTGCCTTCAAATGACTTCTACCGTACTGCCTTAAAATGGAGTTGCCATATAACAGCTTCACAGTACTCCACAAGGGGGCTCTCTCTGGTAACGGGGAAAATCCAACATTAGAAATTACATTTGTTCCGGATTGTTGCTGAAATCAGGGCTTTTCCTGTCTAAAGGATAAATAAATACCTGGGTAACTCCGGTTTATCAGCTAGTTAAAATATAAATAATTTATCCCAAATCTTATTTTGATGGCCAATCTACCTGTAATGGTCCATTTCCCAGTAATTAAAAAAACTGCCAATGTTCTTCTGTGTGCATGTAATGATCCAAAGAACCTCAAAGAAATACTTAAAGTTGTATCAATATGGGTTGGGCTCAACTTGCAACCATTCAGTTAGCAATGTTCGAAGTTACAATGGCATTGAAAAAAAGTGACTTCCAACTGGTCGTCATACTTATGACTATCACAGCTTCACCACAGTTGTGTGATCAAAATTTGGGCGCTTGGCAACCAGCATGTAATTTATCGTATCATCTTGGGCTGACCATTTTTTGACCTTCCCAGCTGACTTCTAACTAGCAAAGTCAATGTGTGTGTGTGTGTGTGTGTGTGTGTGTGAGTGTAGCTAGATTTCCTTAATGACTGCAGTGATTCACTTAACAACCATGGCAAAAAAGGTTGTAAAATCGGGTATGACTTTCTTTTTTTAAATTAATTTTTATTAATTTTCTAATTATTATATTTCTTAGTGCTTAATAAACATCGTGTTGTCTGGGTATTTAAATTGCTTAACGATACAAATTGCCTTCTTACTCTCCACCCCTTTTCCCCAGCCATTGGTCAAATAAGTCCCATGTTTGATAATATTTGGTGTCTTCTTTCTGTTTGATTTTCAATGTAAGTCTACCCATTTCTGCACAATCGAATATCTTCTTTTTAATTATCACTTCTTCTGGTCCCATAATGTGGTTGTCAGTTGAGGACTACCTGTAATGGGCTTTGTATAGAGCTGGGCAGCATTTTGGATTCAAAGAAGAAAAAGAGTTTTCCTAGGACTCTGCAAGTATCCTCCCCTTCTGCAATATGATACCAGAAAAAGACCCATTTGATTTAGGAATTTGTCCACAGTATCTCTATGTCTGCACCCACAATTCAGGACTTCCACCCTTTGGAATCCAAGCAAACCTTCATTCCCTAAATATTATATACCTGTAGGGCGGGGATGTGGTGGCTCAGTGGTTAAGGACGCTGCGCTTGTCAGCTGGCTGACAGCCCAGGTTTGAGACCTGAGTACCTTGCAACGGGCGAGCTCCTGTTACTTGCTCCAGCTCCTGCCCACTTAGCAGTTGGAAAGCATGCAAAATGCGAGTAGATCAATAGGAACCCCTTTGCTGGGAAAACTAATAGCATTTTGTGTTTCACCCCATGCTCTGGGTTGCAGCATATTGTCATGCTGGCCATAGGACTGTGGAAAAGTTTTCGGACAACACTGGCTCCCTCGGCTAAGAAACAAAGATGAGCATTATCCCCTAGAGCAGGGTGTCAAACAATTTCATTGAGGGCCACATCAGTGTTGTGGCTCATCAGCAGCCTGTGCAGACTGCAGTGGAATCGGACAGTGGGGAAGAACGGGGACCAGTCTGGAAAGTACTCGGACAAGGGTCCTGCGTCCAATGCGGAGATGGGTCCAGGACCATCTGGGAGTGGGGTGCTGCCTCCGGAGCCTCTGGAGTCTGGCAGCAGCGAGGCAGAGGACCCAGGGGAGCCTGTTCCCAGTGCACGTGTGTGCAGAACTTCCAGAAGGCGAGAGCAGCTGAAACAAAAAGGGTGACTTGGGAGTAAGGCTGGGTGGTGATTGCCCCTTCCATCAGGTATAAAGGTCAGGCAAAGATGATGAAACCTTTGCAGGAAGCAAAGTCGTTCATTCGGTTCAGATTCATTCTTGAAGTTTTTATACTTTGGTGTTTTTTTTTCTAGTTCATTTGACACTGTTCTGGCAGCACTTCCCAGGAAAGAAAGGTGGGTGCTTATCTCAAGGGACTGTTTGAGATTCATTATCGGCTGGGAATGAAAATAATTCCCAGCGTTGCAATAAAACAAGACTTGTTTTTAAAATAAGTGTGTGCGTAATTACGGCTTCGGAAGCCTTGGTCAGAACAATCAGGGTTGTGTTTGACCTTGGAGGGGTGGGATGGGAGTGGCTGGGTGGGAGTGGCCAGCTTGACATCACTTGTGTCCGGGGAACTTGTGGGGCCCGAGTGCTCTGCCAGCAATAAGGGGCTCCCAAGCTCTGTTTCGGCTGCGACAGCCTCCTGCAACCCTCTGCCAGCGAAAACAGAGTTGGAAGTGCCGTACGCAGCCCTCCCGAGCTCTGATTTTTCTGGCAGAGGCACTGAGGGCTAGTCCCCTGTTTCTAAGCACCCTGCAAGCTGGATCAGGCCTCCAGGCCTTCAGTTAACATCCCTGCCTTACAGTTAGATATGACTGGACAGGGAAAGCTTTACCTTTACATCTGTAGGATCCTAGATGAAGAAAGTGTTGTTTAACTAAGGAAACTCTTACTGGGGTTGACTATTCTTCCATACAAAACAACAATGCCAGCAAAAGCAGTTTAGTGCTAGCTCTTTTGCAGATCTGCTGTTTTTCTCACTATAGGAATGTTTTATTTGTACAACTCCCATGCAGGTAGATGTGTGAGAGTCCAAACAGAGGTTTTTACACCTTAACTGCTGTTTTGGAGACAAAAATGCATGCTGGCTGGGGAATTCTAGGAGTCCAAACCCAACCTCTTAAAAGTTGTCGAGATTGAGAAATCTGGATAGCCTCATCTTAAAGCTAACTAACGTTGGAATTCACGCCAGCTTCAAGAATCAAAAACATTATTGGAGTCAAAATTTCTTGCAGGTGTCTCTTGTGCCACAAAACAGTCCTTTCAATTCAAGAGGCAAATCAAGTTTAAATTCAAAGCAAACTTTCAGTAAATGTGTAACTGATCAAATATTTAACCTCTGTAAACATCATCTGATTTTTGCCTGGACAACATGAATGTTGGAGGCAGGAATGCATTGCCTATTTGTAACATCTATTGCTTTAATCCAGAGATAAACGGCATGACTCCATTTTGTCCACTGAGTACAATTCCAAGAACTGAGCCACAGAAAGGGGGAAGTGCTGAAATGGGACCAGGGCAAAAATATAATCCAATTAAATATAAGTTAAATTAGGTGTATGCAATTCCTCTGATCGATCCCCATGTTTATGCCTAGAAACGTTAACTAAGGTTTATCATGTTGAGCTACTTCTTACAATATCCTGCTGGAAATTAAAACCCACCCCTCTCCTAGGAAAATGAAATATTTTAGGATATACTAGAAAGACAGAATATTTCCCCTAAAAAGAAAAGTAGAAACTCAGAGGCAGAAACTCGGCCCCCCACCTTTGCTAATGGACCATTACTCTGACCTGGGCCAGTCTATTTTACATAACAAAGATTTACTCTATGTAGAGCTAAATAGGAGTTGCCCAAATCATTACATCATCATCCAGCAAGGCTCAACCAAGCCTGGGTCTCGAAAGACAGCCTACAGAGTTGCCCCTGCATGGCCCCATGGGAGTCTGGCAACCAATCAGAATACAAGCTCAAATTCAAATCCCAGCAGAGGGCATAAAACCCAGGGACTCTCAGCATCTCTTCCCTTTTCCTTCACCCAACATCTTGAAGTATGTGATCACCCTTTTTTTTCTCCACCCAAGGCACGTGGTCCTGTCCACCATTAAACCATCTTTCCAAGCAGTCACCATGTTTCCAGTGTCTTCCTTTCCCCACTTGGAACTGAACCCAGAAGGATATTTTCTTACAACAATCCTAAACTACAAATAATTCAACTGCAGTTTTGCTTTGCTTGCTATCCAATTTAATTCCACGAATAGATATATAAGAAGTATCGTTATTGGATGGTCTATTGCAGCGATGGTGAATCTATGACAAACATGTCTAAAGTCCCATGCCACAGAGAATTTATCAACGCCTGACAGCTATTCTCGAAAACATGCTCCATACTCTTGCGATTTTAGGAGGTCGTGGGGCCATGTCAGAATGAGACATGCTCTTGCATAGTTTTTTTGGACCCACTGGAATTTGCACGAAGGGCGGTGCTTTCCTGTAGTTCTAGCAGCTGCAGACGGCATGGAAGAGCGTTCGCTGAAGTTGCTTCAAGAATGACATCCCAAAAGGTGCTTTTTCAAAAGGCAACTGGGCCCTTTGTTTTTTCCTTGAAGATGTTTCGCTTTTCATCCAAAAAGCTTCTTCAGTTCTCCACCATTCAGTCAGAACTGAAAAAAGCTTCTTGGATGAGAAGTGAAACGTCTTCAAGGAAAAAAACAAAGTCCAGTTACCTTTTTTAAAAAAGCACCTTTTGGGGCAACCATGACCTGGACGACTGAGAATCTCCATAGACATTCAAGAACAAAGGCCTCATGCAACCTGGAGTAACCTTGTGTGTCTTGGGGAATGGTGTGAGGCAGCCTTTTTGAGTGGCAGCTTTGGGGCTGGAAGTTGAGGTCTGGGCCTCTACTTTAGGCCCAGCCTCGGAGTTGCTGCCAAATGCCACTGTTTAGGGTGGCCTAGATGAATAGTGATAGTGGGAAATAGAGAATTCTTTCTTGACACTGTTGGAAGTTAAAACCCACCTCTCTCCTAGAATAATGAAATATTTTGGGATACACTAAAAAGGCAGAATATTTCCCCTAAAAGAGAAGTAGAAACTCAGGGAGGCAGAAACTCATCCCTCACCACCTTTGTTAAAGGGCCATTAAAGCCTGGGTCAGTCTATTCTACATAACAAAGATCTACTTCTTTAAGGCCATTCAATTGCCCTTCCTTGCACCACCCACCAAGTTTCAACCAAACTTAGCACACAGACAACCTACAAAGCTAGCCTATGACCTCTGACAGCAACCAATCAGGATACTCTTCCTGTGCCCCAGGAAGTTCAAAGCCAGAGAGGGTATAAAACCCAGGGACTCTCAACATCCCTGCCCTTTACTTCGCCCAAGAGCTCCCAGGTGGTCCTGTCCACCATTAAACCATCTTTCCAAACAGCCTCCATGTTTCCAGTGTCTTTTCCCCTACTTGGAGCTGAACCCAGAAAGACATTTCTTCCAATAACACATCAGCAGAGTCCCATAAAGAATTTTCCAAATTTTTGACATGTCGAACCCAAAAGGCTTGCCATCATTGGTCTAGTAGTGCAGGGGTGTCAAACTCGATTTCATCGAGGGCCGCATCAGGGTTGTGTTTGACCTCGGGGGGACCCGGAATGGGCGTGGTCAGTGTAGGTGTGGTCGGCTCAACATCACTCGTGTCGGGGGGGGCACCTGTGGTGGTCTGAGCACTCTGCTAAAGAAAACAGGCTCCCCAGTTGTGACGGCCTCCCACAACCCTCTGCCAGTGAAAATGGAACTTGGGAGGACCTGCGTGCCGCCATCCCGAGTTCCATTTTCACTGGCAGAGGCACCTCCGGCCAGTCCTTCACTGTTTCCAGAGGGGCCCTGTAGGCGAGATCTAAGCACCCCATGGGCCAGATCTGACCCCAGGCCTTGAGTCTGACCCCTGGTCTAGTGGTTAAGGCACCAGGCTAGAAGCCAGGAGACTGTGAATTCTAGTCCCACCTTAGGCATAAAAACTGACTGGGTGACTTTGGGCCACTCTTTCAACCCAATCCACCTCACAAGGATGTTATATTGTGGGGAAAATAACAGGTGAAGGAGTCTTTTATTTATTATTTATATTTATATATTTATTTCAGAACAGCCCATCACGTAAATCACCAAACCGGTAGTTACACTGGTCGGATCCCATCCCTATGGACATCTCCTTTAATGCAGAACATGGATCAATTTTAGCATTACCAAAGAATTCAAATTTATGAAGATTAAAGTTAGACAATGTTAAATGGAAAGTACCAAGTGGTTGCCTCGTACTATGTTTTGTATGGCAAAAAGACAGAATTGGGAAGATTGCTCTCCAAAAATGTGGGATTACAGTTCCAATAATCCCACCCCCCAACCCCGATGTACTTGAAAAGTACCACCACACCTATGAAAGTTGTTTGAAAACTTGGAAGAATTCCCCCCCTCCCAAAACAAAGTGATTGTAAATAAAATACTTGGTTGCAATACAAAGTCCCGCAGAGCTTGTAGAATTACATCGAGCTGAATTAAAGTAGCTTTAGATTATTTTAGGAAGGGTACGCTTTGTGTCATTAAAACACTCATTCAAACAGAAAGGGGGAATTTATTTTAGAGCGGGGGGAATGGGATTTTTCTCTTTTGCCAAAGAGAAAAAACTGAAATCAAACTGAAATGAAATACAGTATAGATGACTACTTGCCATGCATGTAATAATTTTTTTTCTCTTTCTGTTAAATTAATCATTAAATCTGGGGAAAACTCTGACCACCATTCAATGATCACCATTCAATGTTGGGTAGAAGGGGCTGATGGTGCCTCTCCCAATTATGAAATTCCCATTAATTAGCCTTTTGATGTTGTTACCAAGTTTATTTACTATTCTGTAGGCACGAAGAATGACATAGTGCACTCTTGTGCAAGTCCCCAATTATGAAATTCCCTTTAATTAGGTGCTTGAGGTTCTGGTTGTTACCAAATTTACTTACTATTCTGTGGGCATGAAGGATGAGACTCAGAGCAAATTTATTTCCTTGAGTTCTGTCTTCATTAAGTTCTGTTATTGCTCTAGCCACAGCTTCAAAAACTTCTGGGTCATCACAGCTCACATCATCTTGGACAGGACCGGCTTGGCAAAGTCCAACGCTGAGGACTAGCAGAATGAAGACTTCCATAGCCAGGTGAGAGAAGCTTCTTTGAGCTTCTGATGAGCGTGGAAAAGAGAGAAAGAGCTTCAAGATAACCGACGAGGTGTATCTTCCTAACAGATACCAGAGAACTCAAAGTAAACAAAGCTATTTCCTGGCCTCAAGTCAAGTCACAATCTATAAGCCATGTAAACAACCTTTGGGATTTATTTAAGCCACAAACTTTTTTTTTTTTTTTTTTTAAAAACAAGTTTATTCACCTGCAAGTTGGCAATCTCAAGGTTTTCAAAACATACGGTGCTGATGGTAGGTCGTGTTGGGTAATTTCAAGGATATTTTCCAGAATGATAACGCATAAGGGGGTTCTCGACTTATGACTACAACTGAGCCCAAAACATCTGTTTCTATGCAGTTGTAAGTGGAGTTTAACCCCATTTTACAACCTTTCTTGCTACAATAGGGTAAGTAAATCACTCCAGTTGTTAAGTATTAGTTCAGTGTCCTCTGATAGTGAAATTTAGCATCCCAGGTTGTAATGGAATTACAATCTTTAGAATATCTTCCATTTTACTGTGAATCATTTCCCAGTAATGTTTGGATTTACAATATTGCAATCACATATGAAGAAAGGATCCAGGCAGTATATTACAGAATCCAGATTTTTTTAAGGCAAGGAATTATTCATTGCAGCAATCAAGACTGTAGTAATATAGAGGTAGTCTTCAACTTAGTTTCATTTAGTGATCATTTGAAGTTATAATGGCACTGAAAAAAGTGACTTATGATAGCTTTTCACACTTATGACATTCCTGTAGTCACATAATCAAAACTTGTATGCTTGGCATATATTTATGATAATTGCAGATTATGTGAACTGCAACCATCTTTTTGTGACCCTCCAATGAGCAAAGTCTATGGGTAACCATGCTACTATTTACTAAGTCTGCATTACTATTACTATTAATCCTCCTATCCTTCCTTTCACCCATCTCCTCCCACTTATGACTGTATGACTGTTGTTGCTTGTATCCTAATGATTTTTACTGACTGTTTCCTAGTATGATTATGTAGAGTTGTAATTGCAGGAATGTTCCAATCTCGGATGGCAAACCTCAGATAAAGAATGTTTCCAAGCAAATACAACTCAGGTAAACAAAGTCACTAATCTAAAGGAGGATTAGAGAGAGGAAGTAAACATATGTTAGACTTTAACTAGAGATAATTAATTACTGTGCTAAACAGTAACGAAAGTTAAGCAGTAACCAAAGTTAACCAGTGATGGAGGATAACTAAAAATGTGTATAAATGCAAGACTAGACTCCAATAAAGATCATCATGATTCAGTTGTTCATGATCAAACAACTCGACTGCCTCTTCATTACAACATGATTTGATTGCTTATTGTATACTATGATTATTATTAAGTGTTGCACCTTACGATTCTTAACTCTTGACGAATGTATCTTTTCTTTTTAGTACACTGAGAGCATTTGCACCAAGATAAATTCCTTCTGTGCCCAATCACATTTGGCCAATAAAAGAATTCTATTCTATTCTATTCTATTCTATTCTATTCTATTCTATTCTATTCTATTCTATTCTATTCTATTCTATTCTATTCTATTCTTTCCTGTTCTGTTCTGTTCTGTTCTGTTCTGTTCTGTTCCATTCCATTCCATTCCATGTCAAATATGACAGTTTTGCTGGTGCAGGATTTCTGTGAGATTTTCCTGTCATAAACTTGCTTGGAGGCTTGGAAATATGAGTCTTGCTCAATAACGGACAGTGCCAGAGTGTGAAAAATGATTTGCAGGGAGGGCCAATCTCTTTCTCAAATTGAAGTGTCATGCATCACCTGAAACAAAGAACGGTGTTCTTTGAAGTGGCCCCTGATAAGCATGCCAACCAGCTAGCATGGCACATCAGTTGTTCAAGTTATGGAGTGACATTTTTCAGTCATTTTGTCAGGCTTGCCCCAGCTAGGTCCCTAAGAAAGAAAGACCTTTGATTCCGTTTGATTGAACATATAGGTTCTTTTACTAAGGATTAATGGTTGCAAACAAAGCAAGGCTAGAACTAAAGTTCCCGTGCAAAATGTTACAGCACTTTCTCCTTCTCCCCATCCCTCCTCCCTTGACTGGTCTGTCTTCGTCCAATGACGTTCTGTGTAGGTGTTTTGGGAACTGCTCGGATGTTTGGTGTTGCTTGCAATTCACATTCCTTTCTTAGGCTCGCCGGCCTTGAAGGCTGGAATTGGCTGGTTCTCACACTTCTGGTTTCCCTCAGGATTGTCACTCCCCCACCCGTCTCTATTTTCTACATGCCAATTGCTTACTTCCTTTCCTCCCCTCTTCCCCTAACAATTTACGGCAGGATGCCAGCAAAGTGCTAAGCTGAAGATGGCAGATCTGACACATTCTCTCCAGTGGTGGGATTCAATTTTTTTTACTACCAGTTCTGTGGGTGTGGCTTGGTGGGTGTGGTGTGGCTTGGTAGGCATGGCGGGGGAAGGGTACTGCAAAATCCCCATTCCCTCCCCACCCCACTAACCTGCTTTCCAGCTCCATTCTCCTGTGCAGGGCAACCAAAGAAGACCCAGCCAATCAGCTGGGACTCAGGAGGTGGAGAATAGATGGGGGCGGGGCCAGTCAGAGGTAGGATTTGCCAGTTCTGCGAACTAATCTGTGAACTACTCAAAATTTCTGCTACCGGTTCTCCAAAACTGGTCAGAACCTGCTGAATCCCACGACTGATTCCCTCCATAAGCTGGCAAAAAGGAGGTGAGCTGAGCAATAGCAAGGAAGGAGAACTATGAAGCACAGGCAGCTTTACTGCTCCCTAATGGTCTAAATGGAAGAAACCAGAAGCCCACATGTATCTTCAGGGAGCCTGGAATTCTTTTGATCGTAACATGACTGCCACCAAGTGGCTGTGATTGGTTTCTTCAGGCTATAACTTCGTAGGAGGAGGAGAGATGCAGCTCTCCTCAACCCTGCTGGCGATCTCCCCCCTCTTCACCACCTCTACCGGGTGGCTTAGCCCCGAAGCCAGCTGGCTCGGGGCACTCCAGCGGCGAGCCCAGGCAGAAACCGCACACTTCCTGCCTGCCGCCGAAGCCCTGCAAACCGGAAGTCCACTGTGATTGGTTTCTTCAGGCTATAACTTCGTAGCTGTCAATCAGCAGGACAGCTCAAAAGAGAAAGCGGAGCCTTTCTGTGTAAAACAGGAATCTTGCAAAGAAGCTTACTGAGGGCAATGAGAAAATAGATTACTGGGAGGGATATATCATCGTGGGAGAAGACTAAATCACCAAGAGTTTCTGTATCCGTAAGATATGATCCTGGGAAAAGGTTAATCCCCGGGGGACACAAGAAAGACTGACAAAGGACGCCATAGGGAGTATGCTGCTGTTGAGAAGAATAAGGCAATGGATCAGGGGGGGACAGGAGATGACGGCTTCATTTCCAGCTGTGCCAGCCCCCTGGCTTTAAACAGAGGCTCTCCCATGCCTCACTTTAAGACCAGAGGCTCTCCCATGCCTCACTTTAAGACCTCAGAGGGACTTTAGAAGCTGTTTTGGTTCTTCTTCTCCCCAGCTTCCACAAACCATTTCAAAAATCGCCACATCTTCTATGCAATCCGTCTGATGGATTTGGGGAAGCACAAAGGAAATTTTTACACAGAACAACAAGAATTTTGGGGCTTCTAGTCTCAAACTGTTGGGTGGGGGGGGCACAAGACAGGTTTATGGGACATATGGCCACTGGTGGTTTTTTGTTTTTGTTTTGGCAGCTGGTGGCCAAGAACAAGAACAAAACTAGCAGCTCTGCCTTTTGCTACAAACTATTCTTGGCCCTTGTTTTTTGCCCTCACAATTAATTGGTTTACAACAATTCTGGCGGCCAATTCTTGCTTTTATCTATAGCCAGGGGTGGGCTTCTAACAGGGGTCCGAGAGAGCCCCTAGCTAAGATTCTGTGCAGTTCAGAGAAATCCCACTCCCACTCCCTCAAATCCCACTCCTGACTGGCCCCACCCACCCCTCTCCTCCTCTCCCCTCCCTTCCCAGGAGTCCCCATGTGGCCCGTTTTGGATGCAGGTAAGTGCAGGGTGTGTGTGTGAAAAACGGGCCTCCCAGAAGTTCAGGAAGGCCAGAAATGGGCCCATTTTTGAAGCCCACCCCTGTCTGTAGCACCTGTAATCGATAACTTGCACACTGCCAGATAATCTCAAAAGGAGCCATTGGTGAGCGTTAGGTCATTGGTTGCCCTTTGAGATGAATGTTAGAGAGCTGTTCTGGAATCAAAATCGGGTACCTCAACTACAAGGCCTGTCCACCATCAGAAAAGAGGAAAAAGCCTGCCTAGATTAATCATAGAAAGAATCATAAATGCCCAGAGTGACTGGGAGTCATGCTGCATATAAATGTTAAGAGGCAAAGGTAATACAGATAGTAATAGGTGCAATCCCTAGCAACTGAAACCTTTCTTGAATATCATCAGCATTGACAAACTCACCATCAATCAATTGCTAAAGGCAGGTTTACATGGAACAGCTTACATTCTGTGAAGATACCTTTAAAAAATATCAACCACTGTCAGGTCCTTTGGAAGGACTTAATAGGTGGACTAAATCCAGTCTGAACATCTGGCTGACTGAGCGATGAATAATAATAATAATATTGTGGCACAAAACTACAATACGGGCATTCTAGGAAGACCAGGGGTGCGATTCAAAAATCCCAGTTCACTGCCCAGTTGCTGGATGGGTGTGGCTGCGGTGCGTGTGGCCTACCAGAACTTCCGGGAGGGCTGTTTTTCACCTTCCCAAGGTTCAAGGGGCTTCCCTCGGGCCTCTGGGAGGGTGAAAATGGCCTCCCCCAGTTTCTGGAGGCTGTCCGGAAGCCGGAAACAGGCCCATTTCTGAACTTCCAGTACTTTTGGTAGGGCCGTTTTTCACCTTCCAAAGGGACCAGAGGCTTCCCTCAGGCCTCGGGGATGGCAAAAATGGCCTCCCCGGGCACTGGAGGCCTGCTGAAAGCCAGGAACAGGCCCATTTCCGGACTTCTGGAAGGCCCGTTTTTCCCGCGTCTGTGCGGACTTTGCACTTACCTGCATCAAAAATAGTCCGTGTGAAAACTCTTGGGAGGGGTGGGGCAGAGTGGGCAGGTCCAGCCGGTCGGTTCAAATACTGGTTCAGCAAATCAGATGCAAATTTAACATCCAGTTCTCCCAAACCGGTCTGAACCGGTAGAATCCCATCCCTGAGGAAGACCTAGTAGTTGTGTTTCCTAGCTGGGTCATGCATGGATACGTCTTAGCTTGAGGTTTTCAAAACAAGAGGGAGGGACGCTTCCATTCTGAGAAGTAGTTCATTGCTCGTGAATGTGGGCTCTGAGGACACATGTTTGGCTAAGTCTCCAGTGACATTTCTGATGTTTCAAATGAAGCAAATTTAGTCCTCCGGTATTTTGATATATGTCTTTTATTTGTGATAACCAAGGAAAGGTATACAATCAGATATATGTCAATCCAGTAGTGACAAGATTGGGTTAATTCATAAATATAATTGTATTGAATTAGTGCCATTCCTCATAAATTTGTCATAAAATATTGATTAGAATGAGGTATGTAGGAAAGTAGATCACATTTGAAATTCCATCCTGACTGACTGCAGAGAAACTTAACGTAATTCACCCATGGAGTTGCTGGAGACTTTCTCTTCCAGGGGATATTTTTCTCCAGGGTTGAAAGCAGGCAAGGCTGGTCCTGCAGAAGGCAGTTGTGCGCATTGCTGGCTGACTGAGGTGGCTGAATCACAGTTCTTGTTTCACTGTTGCTAACTATTTATTGTATCTTGCAAAACATTAAGAAGCTAAGCAGGCAGGTGCTGCAGGCCAACCTTGGCTGCAACTGTATTTAAGTGTTATGCTTTTATGCAGTCAGAAATCCCAAGAACATCATCATTTCCAAGAGTGGAGAAATAGCTCACTGCCTTCTTTCTTCCTTTCTTTACCAATTCTGTTCCTCATAATCATGAAAGACGTTAAATTCATCCTCTAAAATTTTGGGTTCTCCCAATTCATGAGCCTGGAAGGACACATACACAAAAACGGTTTTTCAGATGGGTCAGGTAAAGGCCTTGGCAGCTTGGAAAGGAAAGCACAATCAACATCTTGAACGGAACGGTGAAATGCAGAAATAAGTCTCTGAATTATTTGAGACTTTCAAGAAGAGATTGGACTGCCATTTGTCAGAAATGGTGTAGGGTCTCCTCCTTGGGTGGGTGGGGTTGACTAGATCAGGGGTCTCCAACCTTGGCAACTCTAAGACTTGTGGACTTCAATTCGCAGAGCGTTGCTGGCTGAGGAACTCTGGGAGTTGAAGTCCACAAGTCTTTTTTTTTTTTAAGCAAATTTTATTAATTTTTACAAAACAATACACAAACAAACAAAGCATAGATTGTAATAACATAAAAGATCTTTTCTGAAAAAACATATATAACATCTTATTTAAAGACAGAATAATTCCAAATTATCACATCTATTCAACTTTATATCTTATCCCGGCTTCTCTTTATTTCTCCCTTTCCTTCTATTATTCAAATTATATTTCTTTTACTTTAGATTGTATACATTCTTTTTATCCATCTGTCTTATTTACAATTTCATTATTCTCCTCCGACGTTCTTCTTACATTCTTCTAAGATTTTATTAATTCAAACATGGACATACAAAACACAAAACATAAATACCTAAAACTTCTTTTTGGAAAGCGGCTTACCCCGGGTTACCTCTTTTTATACAGACATAAATCAAATTCATACTCACTTAATATACTGTTTCATATCTTAATTAACATTCTGTATTTTCTATATATTTTCTCTCCTCTATTCACTCTCATAATTCTATTATATTTTTTTCATCTCATTTTAAATAGTTATACTTGTATCTTTTGTCTGTTCTCTTCAATTATCTATTTATCTTTTCTTTCTAATACAATATTTCTCCTGTAATCACTGGTTGAAGTATGACAACTTTTTATCTTTCCCCTAGATTTGACACTTAAAATAATACATACTTTCCATGCTGATTCTGCTTAGCACAAAATACTACATTTTAAAATAATAAAACAAAAATAAAAAAGGGGTTGAGTTTATAGTATGATCAAAACAATATTCCATAGAAAATTAAACTCTATTATTTACTCTTAAACATTTTATATATTCCCTTTAATACATTATTAACTCATATTATTTCAGTTTTCTAACTCAGTTTCAAATACTAATATCTACAATACAATCTTATGTACTTTTGCAGAATCATATTTTTTTTTAATTAAATTTTACTCTTTAGCTCTGAAAAAAACCTTTTTTTTAGCATCTTGTTTTAAACCTTTATGGCTTCTCTTTCCTTTTTCCCTTCCTTTCTCATCAATTCTGGTCTTTTTGCCTCCCCATCTCTCAAATTCCACTTTTTTGATCTTCCCTCTTTGTTGTGTTTCTCTTTTCTGTTGCTTTCTGGCATTTTATCGATTTTTCATCTTATTTTCCCCTTTCTTGATTGCTTTTTTAAGTTCTGAATTCTCCCTTTTCTGTCCCCCCTTGTTCTTTTCAACTATAACTTTTTGTCCATTAAAGATGGCTTCTCCTTCTTCATCCCAGTCCTCTTGTTCTTGTATTTCTTGGTAAGTGGAAATTGCCATTTCCAAAAAACGAAAGATAGATCCAAAAGAGCCCCTGCCTTCTTGTTTCTCTTCTTGTAGCTTTTGAAATTCCATTTGTAATTCTTGCACAGATAATGCCATTTTTTATTTTTTTTTATTTTTAAAAGAGCAACCCAAATGTTTTTAGTCTTTCAAAAAATAGTTCCCCAAAAATCCCAAAGTCGCAAAGTCACAAAGCAATCCAAATCAGAACAAACTGTTCCATTAACACTTTCTTCTTCTTCTTTTTTTTCCCCTCCTCCTGGGGTGAGATTCAATTAGACAGTTTTAAAATGATTTTTAGAAGCCTTATTGTCATTAATTTCTAATCTTATAAACTTCAAGCAGTCTTCTTCAATAAAGTCTTAGAATAAGTTTTTTACCTCTTCCTTCCCACTTATAGCAATAAATTTTTAATTCCAGTGTTCCAAAATCTTTTATCCCCTTGGCTTTAATTTTTAGGTTTATTTACCTTCTTTGCCCAAGGAGGTTTTCCAAATTTCCATCAGCTACTTCCGTAGGGAAGGAGAGTGAGAAAAAATAACTTTCCCTTTCACCACTTTCTTCCGCTGCTTACACAGTCTTTCTGGGAAACAATGTAGCAATAAAAAAGGCAAGTTTCCAGGTTTTAAAGGCTCCTCTTTGTCCCGGTTCAGCCAGAGAAAAACTTTCACTTTCTTCCTCCTGCACAATCTTGTCCAGCTGCAGGCTTCTTTGTGGCGGCCATTGCTGACCGCCACTCCACCGCCTTGGGAGAAGGGGGTTTTGCCAGCTGGGGAGGGGGTCTGCGACACCCCCAAACCCCTGTCTGGGTCCCCCCTATCTTCAGCTGCCTCTAAGGGGCAGCTATATCCTCCAAATCCAAACGGATCGGAGGTACCTCAGCAGCGAGCGCAGCAGGGATCGCGCGGAGTCGCGAATCCCTGCCGCTGCCAAAGCCTTGCAGACCGGAAGAAGACGTCCACAAGTCTTAAAGTTGCCAAGGTTGGAGACCCCTGGACTAGACGACCTACAAAGTTCTTCCAACTCTGTTAATCTGTAAATTCCTGTGGTTTTTGAGGCATGAGACTACAAGTAGCAGAAATTCTGAGTAGTTCGGAGAACCGACAAACACTACCTCTGACTGGCCCCGCCCCCATCTAGTTTCTGCCTCCCATTGAGTCCCAGCTGATCGGCTGGGTCTTCTTTTGTTACCCTGCACAGGAGAACAGAGCTGGAAAGCAGGTTAGTGGGGTGGGGAGGGAATGGGGATTTTGCAGTAACCTTCTCCCAGGAGTGGGGTGGGAATGGAGACTTTGCAGTATCCTTCCCCTGCCATGCCCATCAAGCCATGCCCACCAAGCCACACCCAGCAGTAGTAAAATCTTTTGAATCCCACCACTGGTTCTATCCTTTCTGGAAGGTATGCACCTTGTCATCCCAACTGGAGAAGGTTGACAGTGTTCCCCCCGCCTTCAGCCACTCATATGAAATCAGGGAAGCTAAGGGTGGTACAATTTTTTATGTGAGATCCAGTATGGTTTAGTTGGGGGAAAAAAAAGCACCTTTGAGACAACCATGACTTGGATGATTGAGAATCTCCCCCGACTTAAAAAAAAATTCATGGAAAAATTTCTTATTGGGTGTGGGAATAAACTTTGACTTGGGTATTGGGTAATAATTAGTCTAAGACCTTATACATACATGTCTGCCTAAAGGTCACTGAGATAAAGCAAGGAAATTAAAAGCAAACACCAGAAACAATTAAGCAGCTCAGACAACTGTAAACAAGTCTGTGTACTATATCTAATTATTGTAATCCACAATGTGAATGCTTACTATGTACTAAAATCTCAATAAAAGGGAGCACTGGAATTTGCTCTAGACTCCCATCCCGAGTACACACGCTTGTGTCTCATTCTTTCCATGGGAGACCACCACAAGTGGTGACCCCGACGTGATCCACTGCAGGTGGTATGTGTCCGGACCTCCGTGTTTCTTCGCCTGGAATAGGTAAAGTACGTACTTAACTATTGCTGGATAATAGGATTTTTTTCAGGGAACATGGGGGGAAAACTTTCTCAGCCACAGGAATGGCATGTTAGTGAGCTGCTGAAGTTAGTCAGGACAAACTTCTTAATCTTTAAACCCTCTGGGGGGGAGAAAATAGTTCTTTCAAAAGGTAATGTGAAACAGCTGCTGCAAGAGATCTGGCAGCAATGCCCCTGGTACTCAGAGAGAGGCTCTTTAAAGTTAGACACGTGGAGGAAAATTGGAACTATCCTTCATGAAGAGCCACGGGCAACAGCTGAAATTTTGATATATTGGAAGGTTGTTATGACTGCTTTAGAGACCCAGCAACAACCTCTTTTAAAAACTTTAGTAGAACCTCCTCCTTATAAAGGAGTTGTGTTGCACCCACCAACCCCAAAACTGGAGTATGTTTTCTTACCCCCAACAGCGCCTACTCCAGTGGATGATAAAATCCAACCAAAAATGGGAAAAGTTCAAGCAATGATGCATCAGGCTTTCAATGAGGGGAAATTAGAGCCTGATGAGATTCCCCAGATGAATTTGTTTCCAGTTAATAGGCAAGTGGATGCTCAAGGCAATCTGCAGACTGAATGGGTTCCGATTCCTTTGGCAGTACTTAGGGAAATTAAGAAAGCAGTTAAAGATTATGGTATTCAAAGTCCCTTTACAAAGGGTCTCCTGACAAGTTTGGCTACCTCACGCATGATTCCTAGTGACTGGAAAGATTTAATGAGAATGATATTGAGCTCTACTCAGTATGTGGTTTATGATTCAGAATATCAAAGGGAAGCTATCACTAGGGGAAGGAATTCGGGGGGGCTGTATACGCCAGACCAAATCTATGGGGCAGGCTTGTTTGAATCCACTGCTGATCAAGCTGCTAATTTGCCTGATCACGTATTTCCAGTGGTTATGGCAGCTGTCCTTGGGGCGTTGTCCCACATCCAGGATGTGGGAACCCCGGCACGGTCTTTTTCTCAAATTAAGCAAACAGCATCTGAGTCTTATAACGATTTTGTGGAAAGGCTACAATTGGCAATTACCCAGCAAATTTCTAATGAGGAAGCTGCAAAAGAACTTTTGCTGAAATTGGCAGTTGAAAATGCAAACGCTGACTGCAAGCGTATCTTACAGCCTTTGGTGGCTAGAGGTGAGGTTACTCTGGCTGATCTTTTAAAGGCATGTGCAGTGGTGGGTTCTCAGGCTTACAACATGGAGACTTTGGCTATGGCATTACAAAAAGGGATGAAACCTACAGGGAATTGTTTTAATTGTGGGAAGCCTGGCCATTTTAAAGCCCAGTGCCGATCACCTGTGGGGGGGGAATGGCATTTAACAAAAACAAAAATAGGGACGTCCGCCCGAAGTCGGTCTGTCCGAAATGCAAAAAAGGGTTTCATTGGGCAAATCAATGTCGCTCTGATCAGAACCAAAATCCGGGAAACTAAATTTGGGGCGTGCAGCTAGCCCCGCTCCCAAGGCTGTCACAAAAGCATCGCCTGCAATTACTGGGAGTGAAGGTTTGGGTTTAAAAATGTTGAACTCAATTGATGTGACTTTTCCTAATCAAGTATACATCGAGGACACTCATTTGCATGGGCCACTGCCAGAAAAAACAGTGGGATTGGTACTTCCCAGGTCTTCTGCATCAGAAAAAGGGTTTTTTGTTATTCCAGGAGTTATTGATCAAGATTATAAAGGGGTTATTAAGGTACAATTATACACTGATACTCCTGCATCATTAATGGCCGGTGACTCTATTGCACAATTATTATTGCTTCCATACATTCCTATGAATCCTTTAATTGGGATCCCACGAACTGGCGGTTTTGGGTCCACTGAAATGGCCAGTTCTCCAGTTGCTGCAGAATTGCTAGCGCTGACAAAAAAATTTGACTACAGACCAACCTAAAATGACAATTGAAATTCAAGAAAAATCATTTTCTGGCCTTATAGATTCCGGAGCAGATGTCTCTGTGATACGCCAAAAGGAATGGCCAAATGAATGGGCGCTTGAGGACTCTCCAGCTGTTCGTGGAGTGGGTGGTATGCAGCTTGCAAGAAGTAGTGTACATTGGTTGAAGGCATTGCATAGAGAAACTGGTGAGACTGCAAGGATTCAACCTCTTGTGTTGCCCCTGCACATAAACTTGTGGGGTAGAGATTTACTGTCACAGTTCCGCACAAAAATTGTTATTGGATAAAGGAAAAATTATTGACTTTGTCCTTCAAACCAGATATGTGGTGGATACTATTCTGGCTGCGCAAGGGGGAGTTTGCGCTGTGATTCATACGCATTGTTGCATGTATATCTCTGATTACTTTCCAAACATTACAGCTACTATACAGCATATGGAACAAACCCTGAATAGAGAATCCATTACAATCGGAGAGCGAGGGACTGGACGTGTGGTCTGCACTTTGATCCTGGTTGCCAGATGGTTCATGGATTCATCACCTAATTGTTGGAATGATATTGCTTTTTATACTTTCTCTTTGTGCATGCTGTATTATCCAATGTCTCTCTGGACTTTTAGGAATGTGTCGGGTGAAGCCTACGGAAGGAGAACTGCTGTTGCAGATGGTGAAAAGCTACCGAGGCATCCGCGATCATCAAAAAACTAAAACAGGGGAGATGTGGGAATAAACTTTGACTTGGGTACTGGGTAATGATTAGTCTAAGACCTTATACATACATGTCTGCCTAAAGGTCACTGAGATAAAGCAAGGAAATTAAAAGCAAACACTAGAAACAATTAAGCAGCTCAGACAACTGTAAACAAGCCTGTGTACTATATCTAATTATTGTAATCCACAATGTGAATGCTTACTATGTACTAAAATCTCAATAAAAGGGAGCACTGGAATTTGCTCTAGACTCCCATCCCGAGTACACACGCTTGTGTCTCATTCTTTCCATGGAAGACCACCACAAGTGGGTTCAAATAGCAAATAATGTGGAGCTCCTGCTTCTCAAAGCCACAGACAAGCCCTGTTGAATGCCTTGCTATTCATTCTGAGAAGATTTCCTTCATTGGATGGTTGACACAAAGATTCCTTATATTCTTTGTGGATTCTGGAACTGTTGTTAGGAATAGGTGAGGTTATTGGCCTCTTTTTGTTCTGCATCTACTGTACTTTAGGCAGGAGTGAAGTGAAGAGGCACTACAGAGAGTGATAAATTCGGCACAAGAAACCATCGGTTGCCCACTAACACCACTAGATGACATCGGCAGGTCTCGCTGTTTCAGCAGAATAAGGAAGATACTTAGGGATGATTCACACCCTGGCCAGTGTCTCTTTTACCATTGGCCAGTGTCTCTTTTACCATGGCCAGTGTCTCTTTTACCATCGCTTCTACCATTGTGCAGAAGACATCGAAGCATAGCCAGCCAGCCAGCCAAACAGGTTTAAAAAGAGCTCCTACCTATGGACTGTCAGACTCTTAAACACAAGCACAATCATTCTAGTGGTGGGATTCAATTTTTTTTTACTACGGGTTCTGTGGGCGTGGCTTGGTGGGCGTGGTGGGGGAAGGATACTGCAAAAACCCTATTCCCTCCCCCACCCCACTAACCTGCTTTCCAGCTCCGTTCTCCTGTGCAGGGCAACAAAACAAGACCCAGCCGATCAGCTGGGACTCGGGAGGCAGAGAAGAGATGGGGACAGGGACAGTCAGAGGTGGGATTTGCCAGTTCTCTGAACTACTCAAAATTTCCGCTACCGGTTCTTCAGAACTGCTCAGAACCTGCTGAATACCACCTCTGTTCCACACACATACGGAAGCGTATGACTAGACTTTCTCCCCCAATTACTTGTACAGGGATTATTCTCTATACTATTCACGTCGTTTTGTATTTTCTGTTATGGATTTCACCAGAGAGGCTAAACCAATTTCGTTGTGTATATAATGTACAATGAAAATAAAGATTATACTACTAATTTTCTACCAGAGTTTCCAGGAATATCTATTAAGATTGGCAACCCCTTTCAAGCAGTGGTGGGATTCGAATTGTTTTACCACCAGTTTGGTGGGCATGGCTTGGTGGGCATGCTTTGCCTAACGCCGGCGCACAGCTTTCTCCACCCCACCTGAGGCCTGCAGCGCCAATCATCTGAGAGGATCTTCTTTTTCCTCCCAGATGATAGAGGATTTTTTTCCTCCTCTTAGCTGATCATCGGCTTTTTTATTCCCAGTTCGGCTGAACCGGTCTGAACCAGTAGCATACCACCACTGCTTTCAAGATAGATCAGGTAGAACCTGTGCTGTCTGAAGGAACTGCAAATCACTCTGCACTGTACTAAACATACAAAGCAAAACCTTTAAAACATTATTCCTTAGCTTGATGACCTCTGTATGTATTGGTCAGCATTTTCTCTCTCTAGCAATTAAGAGAATTAAGTGGTCCAAATTAACAACATCAATTCCTGCTGATGTATCCTACCCTCCAATACCAATGAGCTTTTACCCATCTTTAAGAGGAACAATTTCATGAGTACAATTAATATTTCTGGACTTCTTCTCTACCACTTTCTCTAATTTATCTTCATAACAGAACATCTGAAAATCTGATTATCAATTCCTTGGGAAATATGCCAATATTTCTGGGCCTATACACAGATTATCACATTTGGTATTAGGACGGGAGAGTGATAGAGGAGAGGATGAAGACAGATTTGAATACCTGGAAAGGTTGATTGTCTGTGCAGGTCACTTCTGGTACGACTGATGGCTCCCAGGGTTTTACATAAATTAAGGCATGGCAGGTCATCAGTTCCTGTCAACCAAACAAAACAGAAAGGGTAACACTCATCTCTTGTCAAAGATTGACATACAAATAAAATACCATGTACAGAATAATTATGTTTTGAATTGAATGGTGTTTTGGAAGAATGTTCTCTTTTCCAAAAGTTGACCATTTTTTAAAATTTGTTTTCTGAATAGTGTCTTTTATCTATGGGGAAAAGGAATTCTTTCAAAACATTGAAGCAAGGAGTATAAATTAAAGTTGTAAAATCATGACCTACATCTTTGTGTGTACACGTGTATGTGTATGTGTGTGTGTGTGTGTGTGTGCACATGTGTGCATGCGTGCAAAAAACCCATGCCCAATAAGGGTATATGCAAATATGTTTGGGGTCTTGGGCTTTCCAACTGATTCAACAGTAAGTTGGAGCAAACTGGAGCATAGATCTCCTTCATTTAATTATAGCCCAATATTAAACTAAATAACGAGTCCAGGTAAATTAAAATGGGCACATTGTGTGAATGAGGCAATTCTTTTAATCTGATGGTTTGTTTGGGCCCAGGAGTTTTATTAACTTGTGTTTAGTGCTTAGGTTTGAGTAGAAATACATCGGATTGTCTTATTGTAAAGATTATCTCAAGACATAATATGCATCCATAGAGAAATGCAACATTTCCCACCAATGTTCCATTTTAAGAATCTGCTTTAAAATTAACTCGTTCCCTTAAGTCATCCCAAAGGTGCTTTTTCAAGAGGCTACTGGATTTTCTGGATTTTCTTTGAAGACGCTTCTCATCCAAGAAGCTTCTTCAGCTCTGAAGCTCTTCTCTGGAGAAGCTTCCCAGATGAGAAGCGAAACATCTTCAAAGAAAAACCAGAAAGTCCAGTTGCCTCTTGAAAAAGCATCTTTGGGACAACCATGGCCTGGATGACCTCCATAGACATTGTTCCCTTAAATAAAATATTCCTCTTGAACTAATCCAAGTGTCTTACACCGCCTTTTACAGCATGACAGTTTTTATCTGGCTTCTCAACTTCAGCCTTGGAGCAATTTGTTCTCTGAGCTTTGAAGTCAATTCGATATACATGTCCAATCAACATCTGAAATTCAAGGAGAAAAATGATTAGCAACTGTATTTAGACTGGATGCTGAATACCATGAAGAACAAAAATCTTGGCTTGCTATCTAGTTAGCTCATGTGGCCCCAAGGACTTATTCCTTCTCCAGGGTTCTAATAAAAACAAGCAAGAGAAAGAGCCAAGGAAAGATGGTGTCCCTTTAGAGGCATAGAAGAAGCTGCCATGGATCAAATCAAAGTACTGATCCCTCATGCCGAATATTATTGATGTTCACAAGCTACATCCCTAGTTATCCCACCCATTTACCTGGGGGAAGTTCAAACATATAAACCACTGGTCTTCCATTACAATATCAACTTTGTATGAGGCCAGCTGAACTGGGAAATGAGTCAAGGTCAAAAGATAACTCTACCTCAAACCATGTTTTTAAAGAAAATCTATGTTGAAATACAATGGTAGTCAGAATTCACACCTGTCCTGATATCTTTGTTATATCCACAATTTTGAAATAAAAGTCACTGCTGCTTTTGATGTTAAATAATTTCACAACAGCTTCTAGATGCCTCTTCAGTTCTTGACTGTCTGGTGCAATTGGGCTGTGGCAACCAGGGCACACTTGGGCAAGAGTTCTCATATTGTCTTCAGCTGTTGAAACACATAAATAAAAATACAGGTTTATATCAGGTTATTTTAAAAAAGGAAAGAGTACAAGAATGGCAGCTTGCACCTATCTTATTATTATTATTATTATTTTTGGTAAGAGATTAATGAACACATTTGGCCGATGCCAAAAATGCATGAGTGCAAATTGTTCTGTAGCAGTTTGGAATTTGCTGTTACTGGAGGCTATCTACGGATTTATCATGGCCACCAACTTGTGCATATAAAAATAACAATTTATTTATTCCATTCCACTATACAGTGCTGCTCATTACTAAAAATGGCAGACAGCATTGTTCTTCCTTGAGCCAACAAAGCACTAAAGCGGTGCAGTGCTTTCAAGAACTACTGAAATATTTCTGAAAACAGGCTGTAAATTAAAAACGTTCGGCATCAGCATCTCGCCGGCTCAAGGAAGAAGAACATGGATCTCAATTTCAATATTATAGCCTGTTGATATCTATGGGTCGTCCTTAATTCAAACAGTCTAAACCTGTAGCCTGTAAATAATTTTGGAAGCGCTCCCTAACTTGACCTTTTCAGCCACACTTGTTTTCAGATGGCCAATCTGTGACTCTCCAAAAGTTGAACTCCAAGTCCCATTATCCTCTCTACTTTGTCTGGTTGGCTGGGGCCTGATAGGTTCTGCCCATTCCCTGCATCTTTTGAAAGTATGGCCAGAAGGGGGAGATTCTGGGAACTGTAGGTCAGCGCTTCTAAGGGGGCTTTGATATCGCTATTAGAAAACCCTAAAGAATGGAATGCGTGAGAAAATGGATCTGTTGTTGCTCAGGAACACCAGGCAAGACTGAATCAAGGAAGCAACGGTTACAAACCTTCCAGTCTGCATTCCACTTCTGAATGGATGAGTTTGCCTCTATTGTCAATGTAGGCTTTAGCTTTACAGAAAACATTTAGCTGGAAGGGGACAAAAAGCAAGAAGTCTGAACCACGCTTTTATCAGGCAGCTCCTTTGTTGCATTCAGTTTTTCCAGATGGCATTAGGAGTGAGTTGCTGGGGGTTCCCAGGGGTTCTGGAGAGCCCCTAGCTAAGATTCTGTGTAGTTCAGAGAACCCCCAAATTCCACTCCTGGCTGGCCCCGCCCACCCTGCCCCTCTCCCCTCCCAGGAGTCCCCACACAGCCCGTTTTGGATGCGAGGTAAGCGCAGGGCATGCACAGAGGCTCAGGGAGGGTGAAAATTGGGCCTCCCGGAAGTTTAGGAAGGCCAGAAATGGGCCCGTTTCTGGCTTCCAGAGAGCCTCCAGAGCCCGGGGAGGGCAAAAATGCCCCCCCCCCACACTGGTGCAGGAGGCCGAATAGGCCACACACCCCATGGCCACGCTCACCCAGCAACCGGGCAGAGAACCCTTTGCTACAATTTTTGAAGTCCACCCCTGGATGGCATCCCTGTATGACTGGCACAAAGTATGAGTGTGAGTTCATTCCCAATTCTAGATAATCTGCTCCAATAGAGAGGAGCCTTTTTGTTACATGCACAGATTATCTTTGGCTGTATCCAGTAGTGGGATTCAAATAATTTAACAATCTGTTTGCACACGGTAGGGTTCTCTGTCGTGGGAAGCGTGGCCCATCCCTGTTCTCCAGCTCTGCCACACATGCGGGACAAGCCTCTCACGACGGCCAACATGACCCTGGGAGAACCAGTTGTTAAATTTCCACCCTTTGCCAAAAGGCTGTTTCTGAGGTGGCTGGATGGAGTCACTGAAGCAGCAGGCATGAGCTTAACTCCAGAAGATGGTAGAGGACAGGAAGCCTGGAGGAACATTGTCCATGGGGTCGCGATGGGTCGGACATGACTTTGCAACTAACAACAACTTTCCCTGTTCAAAACTGTTCACAAGCTGCTCTCTGTCTGTCTGTCTGTCTGTCTGTTTGTCTGTTGTGGTTAGCCGGCAGCAGGTGCGGATGGCTGAGGAGAGCGAGGACTCAGATGAGGGGCGAGGACCATTAGGGAGTGGACTGCTGCCTTCAAAGATTGTGGGGGCTGGCAGCAGTGATGAGGAGGTTTCCAAGGAGCCTATGTCAAGTGCATGTGCACGCAGGATTGTTCGTAGGAAAGAGCAGCTACAACAGCATGGGCAACTCAGGAATAAGGCTGCAAGGTAATGGCCCCTCCTTTAAGAAGATAAAAGCCAGCTGTGAACGGAACATACTTTGCAGAAGGCAAAGACGTTTTGATTCTCCAGTCTCGTGGACATTCCAGTATCCTGAGTTTGTATTTGAAGATTCTTGTATTGCAAATTATTTCTTGTCTGTTATCTTTTGGCAAGGCTTGCAGTTTGGCAAGGCTTGTGCTTATCACAACTAATTATTTTGTAAAAGCATTACAAGGTTTCTGTTCCTTTTGGATTGTGTCTGATTTGTTGGAAATGGGCATGGGTCAGAACACTGTCTAT